CAATGTTATAAACTGGACTAGCCTGGCCTGCCCCAAGACCTGACCCACATGTATGCCAGCAGATACTATAACTGGCGTGGTTTGTTCTTGCCTTGGTTCCTATGCTTTCCTGCAGGGACTGAGTCCTGGCAAAGGAATTCTGCAAGCTCCTGTACCAGGTCACACTCTCTGTGGCAGATCTTGCACACAGCCTGGGTCATTGGCCTAGGCTGACTTTGTCTACCTCTTGTTCTGGCAAGAACAGTGTCTGTTCAACTGGCCCACACCAGATCCGGTTCTTACTGTTGTGTGTTACAGCCTAGCCACACCTGGTCCACCCAGACACAGCTCTCTTGCAATTTAGTGGGAACAGAGACCTAGTCCAGCATGTTCAGCACCCATCCTGGCTCTCACAAGTACTAGTGGGTGCTGGAGTCTAGCCCAAGACTAGCCCAGACCCAGTCCACATCCATGCCAATGGAGACTGCAGCTATATCCAGCTTAGCTTAGTGCCCCCATTCCAGTGCTCATGCTCACTAGTGGGATCCCCAACCCTGCTGGGGTGTCCCTTTTGCTCCCCAACAAGACCTGTTCTCAGCCACAGGTCTTGCATTTGCTAACGGAGATTGCTGTTCCACATGGGTGAGCCCATATAACCTCCGCCTCGACCCCCGGATTCTGTCCCCAGACTTAAATCACTCACATGATGATTAGTGTAATGGCCTAGCCTCACATTACCTGTTCTCTTTTCCAACTCTCACTGGTGGGTTCCGTGATCTAGCCCTGCAAGTATGGTGGCCTTGTCTGTGGAAGTCCTTCGGAAGTGATTCCTCACATGGACATTACCCTTGGGTCCTCCTGCACCTCCATCTGTGCCATTCCTCAGAACCCTGCAAACCCACACCTCAAGTCCCCAAAGCAGCCAACCTGAGTTCTGCTGGCTGCCACCTATGGTGGGTGGGCGAAAATCCCAGGTCTCCCCAGCCTAGAGTGGCACAGGTTCTGTTGGCCAGAGCCATGTGGCCGACAGGACCACGTTTATAGGATTCTTAAAATTGTTTTTATTTTACTTTGAGGAAACAGGGAAAGCCTATGTTTTGGGACTTCCCTATCGTATAGGAGAGAATAAACTATTTTAAGTTTTTGTAGTTAGATTACACAGTGATTCAGTGTGCACTGATCAGCATGACTTGGCCATAAAAATATCTTTTCTTCCTAATGTGTGTTAAATGCTGTTCCCTAAAGCAAACTGACAGAAGGGAAGTCTTTCAGGTGGGTTTTAGAAGAAACCACTCCCATTCCTTTCTGCTATAACATCTTGAACAAGATAGAGAGGGACATTACCACATATTAAGGCCACAATATTTAGATTATGACCTACGCCTAGATTAAGACTTTTGGGGGTCCCAAACACAAAATGGTATGCCTCTACCCTCTCCTATGTCCTTGAGCCACTGTACCCATATGAGAGACCTGGAAGAAGCTCCTAGCCCCCAGTTTCTAACAGATCCAGAGACCTGGAAGAAGCTCCTAACCCCCAGTTTCTAACAGATCCAAATTGCAGCCATTTGGGAAGTAAACCAAGGGGTGGAAGATACCTGTGTGTGTGTGTGTGTGTGTGTGTGTGTGTGTGTGTGTGTGTGTGACCTCCATCTGTAATTCTGACTCAAAATAAATTTAAAAGGAGGTTAACAGTACTTACCTAATGGCTGTTTTGTTAAGTAAAATACCAGATTTTCTTGAGTGTTTAAAAGTGCCTGGGGACATTCTAAGCACTCAAAGACATGTTAGTTGTTACTGATTCATGAGGAAAGAACTGCTGAGTCACAAAAGTGATTTACCTGTACAAGGGTTACACATGTATGGAGAAATGATGCTTCCACTATTAATACCACAGCTGTATTAAATTTTCCAACTTCAAAGGAAAACAGCTTTTACCCTTTATACTCTGTATACTACTAATAAAGAGGGGAAAATGAAACTGTTGACGGATGGGTCTCAAGCCTTCTAAATAATGGAGGTCCTGAGACAAAAACAAATTCGGGAGCAGGAGTGATGCATAGCATGCTAATCCTCCTCCTGAGGTGCCAACATCCCATATAGGTGCGAGTTCGAGTCCCAGATGCTCTAACTCCAATCCAGCTTCCTGCTTATGGCCTGGGAAAGCAGTAGAGGATGGCTCAGGTCCTTGGACCCTATACCCATGTGGAGGAAGCTCCTGGTTTCAGATTAGCTCAGCTCCTGCCACTGTAGCCATTTGTGGAGTGAACTAGTGAGATTGAGGAGATCTCTGTTTTTCTCCTCTTTGTAAATCAGCCTTTCAATTGAAAGATAAGTAAAAATTCAGCCTTGAGTTGCCTTAAGGCATTCTTCCCTTGAACTATTGGTCTTTGGATTAAGGCATAAGCAAGATGCCAGAAACATTATGTACTTTGAATTGCTTGGATCTGAAGTAAAAAGGAGAGAAACGTTTGGTGGATAGCAAGAAATAACAATCATAAAGAGGCACAAGATATTTTAATAGGAAATACAAGTAAAGAAAGGGAAAAAGAAAAGAAAGCTGGTGCTGAATCCTAAATTAAATTCATGCAAGAAAGACCAAATATTTGCAAAAGGAATTGCTGGTGAAATGAGTGCCTTCATACTTTGCTGAAGTGTGAATTGTACTGTCACAATGTTGACTTCTCTTTATAATGGTCAAAGACAGAAAAATTTTACATTTCAATACTAGAAACATTTGTGTAATACCTGAAAATCTGATTTGTTCAAACTAATGTTAAGCATATCCAAAAATAAGTAATTAATTTTCCATCTTTATATCTGGATGAGTTAAAGTTTAATACTATGGGCCATACTGTGGCTCAACAGGCTAATTCTTCACCTTCAAGTCCTGGCATCCCATATGGACACTGGTTTGCACCCCAGCTGCTCTACTACCCATCTAACTTCCTGCTTGTGGCTGGGAAGGCAATGGGGGATGGCTCAGGTCCTTGGGATCCTGCAGCCATGTGGGAGACACAGAAGAAGCTCCTGGCTTCATATCAACTCAAATCTGCTGCTACAGCCATACAAAGAGTGAATCAAGGAATGGAAGATCTTTCTGTCCTTAAAAAAAAAGTAGTTTACATATAAAATTGTGTCCCTATAATTAACTTACAAAAATGCATGGTATGCTGTATGTAAATTTCTTTTTAAATTTTTATTAGGCAGATTTACAGAGAGAAGAGATACAGAAAGATCTTCCCATCCGCTGGTTCAATCTCCAAAAGGTTGCAACAACCAAAGCTAAGTGGATCTAATGGCAGGAGCTTTTTCCAGGTCTCCCAGACATGTGCAGGATCCCAGGGATTTAGCCCATTCTCTACTGCTTTCCCAGGCCACAGCAGGGAGCTAGATGGGAAGTGGAGTAGCTGGGATACAAACCAGTGTCCATATGAGATCCCAGTAAATGCTAGGCAAGGATTTAGTCATTAGGTTATTGTGCCGGGCTGTGTATATTAATTTCATTCCTGCCTTTATGTTCTTTCTTTGTGACAGAATATGTAATTTGAGACATCACCTTAATTTAGTGAGAGGATAGAAACTAAAAGTACATCAATAAAATGTCATCCGTTGGGCCCAGTGCAATAGCCTAGCAGCTAAAGTCCTTGCCTTAAACACGCCAGGATCCCATATGGGTGCCAGTTCTAATCCTGGCAGCTCCACTTCCCATCTGGCTCCCTGCTTGTGGCCTGGGAAAGCAGTTGAGAATGGTCCAAATCCTTGGGACTCTGCACCCACGTGAGAGACCTGTAGGAAGTTCCTGGCTCCTGGCTTCAGATGAGCACAGCTCCAGGCGCTCTGGTCACTTGGTGAGTGAACAACTGGACGGAAGATTTTCCTGTCTGTCTCTCCTCCTCTCTGTATATCTGACTTTGCAATAGAATAAATAATACATCTTTTTTTTAAAAAATGTCATGCTTTGGAAAATATATAGTGAAAAAGACCATTTTAAGATGTAAAATTTTAGTAAGATAAATTTCAGTGGCCAGAGTGGTGGCCTACCCAACTGAGCCTCTGCTTGTAGAGCCAACATCCCATATGGATGGTGGTTCAAGTACTGGCTGTTCCACTTCTGATCCAACTTCCTGCTAATGGCCTGGAAAAACAGTAGAGCATGGCCCAAGGCTTTGGGCTCCTGCCTTCAGATCAACCCTGTTTTGGCCGATGTGGCCATCTGGGGACTGAATCAGCAGATGGAAGATCTCTTTGTTCCACAGTGTGCTGAGCACAGAAAGCTTGCCTGACCCCAACAGAACCCATGTGATCTGGGGAACTAGTAAGGATTTTGGCATCTATGGCTTCCACTTCGGCACTCTGTACACCCACAAGGATGTGGCCTCTGCTGTGTGCTCCTTTGGCTACTTCCACAGTATCTCTGGCACCGCCCAGTACAAGCTATACTGCCTGCTCCAAGACAAAGAATGGATCAACACAGTGTACCTGCCAACTAACCACTCACAGCTCAGGAAGGCCCACGGTTATGTCACTGATCAGCTGAAGCTACTGAGAATCAAGCAATTGGGAACCGAGGAAGTTCCTCTCTATAGTTTTGACTTTTTAGTAAAAGAAATATATCTTAACAACAAAGCAAAAACCAACTCCAGGGAATACTGTTAAAAGCTGTATTTTTATACTGTACAAAAAATTTACAGTCTTAATGTAACTAGATACATCTAAGGAATATTACACATCTCTCAAGAAACACAATATATAACATCTTAGATATGCTTCTGCATTGCAGACTGATATTGAATTTTATACATCTTTATTTACAATAACTTAAAATATTTTTTCATCTCTGGCAGATATTTACAAGGTCAACAGTAACTACATTTCACATTTCAACAATCAACAGCATTAATCCGTTTAGTAAGACAAGATAATGGCTTACATGCACCAATAAATATGATCTTAAATGTGTGGATGTTTTTACCCTTTAGCTTTGAAAAAATAAAGGCTTTCACCAGTCCTAATGCCTGTCCATTTACATTTTTACCAGCACCACCCTGAAAACTTGGGAACCAAGCTCAAGTTTATACTAGTATAAACAAAGCTTACCTATACATTCCATGTCCTTTTATGGATCAAACATACAAAAGTGGGATGATAGCTGTTTATCTGTCTACAGTGACATACATAAAATCAAAGTGGTAGAAATCCTTCAGAAATTCGATCTCCAGAGAGCCAAATGTAACAAAAATAGTAGGAACATAATCATTATCTCACAAAAACCATTTCATTTAACCAGTTAAATGCAATGCTAGCATAATTTTTAGAGTAAGAATCAGAACAGCTGATGTAGAAGTATGTTAGAAATTAATTACAAATATTTTAAAATACCATCTGGAGTATAGAGCACACTTCAGTTTAGACTAAATTAGAACAACAACAACAGCAAAAACAACTAAACTATGATCAGTGAGTGTTAGAAAGCTAAGTTTCTCTTTCCAAGATAGCATAATACAATCATTTTTAACTGTTACCTGATATTTAAATTAATACACAGAACCTGTTTGGAACATTAATTAATATACAATTGTATTTCATTTCCCACCCCCATCAAATCATTATTTAATAGTTTAAATAAATTTATTAATCTTTAACTGTTCTATACATTTTTTAAAAATGAGTTTTTAGCTTTTCTTATCTATGTCATATTTTTCTGAAAAGAAAAAAAGTACTCAGAATAGCCATATACATAAATTATGTAAACAAACCATACCAGTTTAACTAATATTAAACTTAGAGATAATTGCCATTGCCCTCATAATAGATAATTTCTATTACTTTCCACTTGATTTAAAAAATTTGCAATATCATATCTTAGCAAATTTCCCCTATTCAATACTGATGAGTACTAAAAGTATTAAGATGCCTTAATTTAAGGAGACATGGAAATGTGCTATAAGGAATAATTAGACTTCACATTTAACTGGTAATTTTGCTGAAAGTATAAAATTGACATTTTACTGACAGAAAGCCTCAAATGGGATTTTGTAGCTTTTGTATACTGGGTTTTGAGACCAAATAAATCTTTTTAATATTTATTTCCTCCAAGGCAGATAGCAATTAGCTGTGTTAAAGGAGCTTCAATCCATTACAAACTTTAAAAGATTATATTTGGTTAGTAACATTTTCCTTGGTCAACTGTGTATCCAATTATGACATAAAGAACTTCCTGATAAGATTAAAATTGAAAGTACAAATTAATTATCAATTCTGTTGTTGGGGATGGATTGTCCAGTTATCTTTCTCTTTGAAAATAAGATTTCCTTATTAGGTCTAATACCAAACACACATTCTTAAAAAGGACTTATACCGTAAGCTATACTTAATTCTATAGTTTGGTAAAAATCTATATTAAACTTAATAGTAGACATGTGAATATGTCAATCTGTAAACATTACTAACACATTTTCTCAAAACTGAGAAAACACTGAACCTAGATTTCTGTACTATACTGCCAGTTTTTTTCATATCTTTCTCTGCTTTGTGATAACTCTACCCTAAATTGTTTGCTGCTGTGTGTATTTCTCAAGGGAATGATAATACTAATAGATAAATTAAAAAATACTGAATAGATTGAAGTTACCAAAAGTTTGTGATTGTGTGGTCAAGTTTGGAAAGAATGTGCCTACATGGGCAGAGAGATTGAAAGATGATAATGTTCTATGTATAGCATTTCCTATGAATTGTCTCAGTGCCAATATAATATACCCACTAGGCCCAAACAATGCAGAAAATATTAAAATTTACGTCTCCCAGTATCGGGAAAGACTACTTTGACATGAATAATTGTACCAGTCTATTGACTCATCTTGACTTTATTAGCACTATTAGCAATTTTACATTGCATACCATCTGATAATCTGGCAGATATTTTAATTCCTAAGAGTTTAAGCTATCAACTTATAACTGGTTTTTAAACTCTTGTTTCTAAAAACCATTTTTTAAAAATTAAAGTATTACAAATAAGTGTCTCAACCCAACATAGTGTTGAAACAAGGACAATTTATCATTCACCTTGAAAGCTAAAAATCTGTGTAGACTGTCTAACATAGAGGCATAGTATAGAAAAGTTGCCCTAAATTCTTAAATTTTCTGTTCACAGGCATGACTTATGAAAGCTTTTTTAAACTAAAAAACAATGGAACTGAAGGCTGATTTTTTAAATTTTTAAATGAAAATTCAACATCACAAAAGGAGAGATCCTCCTTGCCAGTGTTTATATGGTGTACTACCCATAAAGACATACTATTTTTTATTTACAAATGGACATGCAGGGAATCAAATGAGACGACTGTCAACAATTAAATTACTCAAAAACAGACTCATACAAACCTCATAAAGTGAGGCAGGAAAAAAGCCTCACTTCATTAAAATATGCACAAAAGTAGTTGCAAACAAAACATTACAAAAGATGTTATTCTCAGTATTCCAGTGTCTAATAAATAATAATTAGTTTAAAGCTACTAAATGGAATTTGAGAATACAGGTTGGAAATATTAAGTTTATATAGCCGAGATGATCAAATTTAAGACATTTTATATGGTATATACACTTTAAATGACAACATGGTCATTGATCCATTATGGAACCAAAACCTTCACACTATAAGCCTTATTTAATCACATACCGAAATATTGCTTCTATCTGTTCTCAGCATAAGGTTCAATCTGTTTTACATTAGAAATGAATGAAAATGAATTTATTTAATCTTTATTCTGCAGTACTCCACTGTGCAATACAATTAACTTGCCACGTTGGTGACTAAAAGCTGGCTGATTCAAATTACTTGAGAGTAGCTAGGAACACTGATCCAAGCCTTTTTATTTGGTTTATTTTACATTTAAATAAATTCCCACAAATAAAATAAACCGCAAAATGGCAGCATACAATTGTTACATGGCAGAAAACAGTAAGGCATAAATTAATGAACAATGTTATCTATTCATCCTTATATCTGTTTAGATACCTACATTTCCAACACTTTTTCTTCTATACTTAACTCTCTACATTTTTCTAGATTTAGTGTTTTGTAATGTGCTATATTCACCAACTACTAGACCAGAAAAATTGAGAGAGTGATACACACCACATGTATCTTAGTATGTACAAAAGAGAAGCAGTGAGGTCTTCATAACATTTGAGAGGGGAGAATGAGGTTTGATTCTGGCTCTGCTTCTTAATCATGAAACCTTAATCCATCACAATCTCTTTGAGGCTATTGCCTGAGAGTGAACAGTTGTTTAAATGTGTCTGGTGATGATGGATGGTGGGTGGTGGTAGAGAAGTGTCCAGCACAGAAATTCTGATTCCATAGTAAACAGGTACAGAAAAGTGAACTGGGAAGGTAAGAACGATGGTAGGGATCAGGACTTAAAATGGTAGTCATCACCTCCAGCCCACTCCAGCTTTTTCAAATAGTTTCATATTTTAAAAACCTCCAGTTTAACTTGTTATTTTACATTTTGTTTTCTGGTAACATTAAGAATTTTAATTAATGTCATAGAAGAGAACTGCAAGACCTTCATGTATTTCCTTGTATCTCTTAATCTATCCTAGCATAGGAGACATCAGTCAAATTATGTTTTTATAGAAAACAAGTATTTTCTCCTTACGGGTCTTTTCCATAGCTGAGTGTATTTTTTAAAATGAAAGTTAGGAAGTTGTCAGAGGACTAATGTATGAACATCTAGCACATAATAGCTGCTGTGTATCTGAAATAAAGCTAAATTATTTAAATTTAAATTAAATGCCAGAGAGTAATACAAACATATTCCAAAAAAACTTAGAAAATTTGACTGATAGCTTATTAAGCTCAATTCCACCTTAACAATATCTCACACATGAAATCTGTTTTAAGACACTGAACACCAAATTTAAATGAAATGCTTCCTCATTAGGTTCAACTAAAAGAATCTGAAGCAAAAGTAGCATGATCATGAAACATTAATGGGTATAAAATATTGTTGTATACACACATTACACATATAAATAAATTCAATCTTACAAGATGAAAATTTTCAGTCACCAACTTTTTGGGTACTAACAGCATTTCCAACCAGAGGAAAATTTTATATTTACTATAATTTATACTCTAAAGCTGGTACATTATTGGTTATTTTTTTTTTTTGGTGCTCCAATTAAAATCGTGCTATCTTATGCCAATCATGTATAATTTGCTGAATTTTAAATCTCTTAACCTTTTACACAAAGTAGGTATTTTACAGAGTGACTTGAGCTCCAGCCATAGCCAGGCTGACACAGTGTCAGGGGTAAAGCCACTGCCTGTGAGGCCTGGCATCTCATATGGGTGCTGGTTCAAGTCCTAGCTGCTTCACTTCCAACCCAACTCCCTGCTAATGCGCTGGGAAAACAGCGGAGAATGGCGCCAAGGGCTTGGACCTCCACATTCATGTGGGAGACCCATAGGAAGCTGCTTTGGCTTCAGTCTGCTCCAGCCCTGGCCTTTGTGGCCATTTTAGGGAGTGAAACAGTGGATGGAAGATGTCTCTGTCTCTCCTTCTCCCTCTCCAATTCTCTGTCATTTGAATAAATAAGTTTAAAAATTAAATCTTATTCCCTAGTACAGTACTGCTTTTATTATATACCTGAAACTTCTTTTCTATACCTGGTATGTTACAAATTTTCAGATCTCCTTTAATTTTGGCTATCTTCTAATTTTTATCTGCCCTTAAATTAAGGGATATATAAAATACAACTTTGTGAGACATACACACGCACACCAATAAATTTGTCTATTCACCAATTTTTAGTTTTACCTTGGACTTTGGCAATGTTGTTCACACTAGTTCTAGTTTTCCATTTTCATATAAGCTGAAAACCATTACACACTGCCAAATTCAAACACTTTGTTGTTCTTATAAAGACACTAACAGAAAGTCACTTATTTAAAAAAAAAATTGCTCTTAACAATAAAGGGTGAGGAGAAGTCACTAAAAAAAGTCAGTTTAAAAAAGTCATTTTCCTGGATAATTTATTTATCAAAAGATACTACAGTTTTAACTGGTAGAGGTAAAATTTTAAAGGTTGTTAATTAGGAGAATACTTGCTTTCTATAAACTTTGTATTTTTCGTTCACAATAGTGAAATAAAAACACCTAAATATAAAGAGCATTAATAGCTCTAATGTATTTCATGGAAGGATAACTTACAGCAGTTTAAGTCACAATACTGATTTTCAAAAACACAACATATTCCCTTCTTTTTCAATTCTTAGAGCCTGAGACTCAGAAGAGGTTATAATAAAATGCATACAACCAAATAAAAACTTTTTTTTTTTTTACCAATAATGTATTTTTGCAGCCTCTTAGCAGTTACCAAACGCTACTTACATACATTCAACATCTAGCTTACTGGCATGATTTCAAAGTCTTATAAAAATGAGAAACTTTGCAGATATATGATCAGAAGATTCACAAATTGCATTACATTAAACACAAAGGCAGTGTGGTCCTTGTAGGAGAAATCAATCAGTACCCCCTGGTAAAAATGTTCTATAAAAATGTGTCACATTGAAGCATCAGTGTTTTCAGCCAATTATCTGTCCCTGATGTATTTCCTTGGAGTATATGATCTCGTAGGACTTTAGGTTTCCTAATCAAAATATCTGACTGAATTTTAAGTACATCTAGGAAGCAGCTGAAAGGGTTTCTCCAACTGTCTGAGATCACAGAAAGTGGACTAAGAAATCCCTCCCTTTACCTGAAGATGTACTGCTCTACTTCAGTCATCAGCTCACAAAGGCAAAGAAAAAACCCAGTCAAAACTTTCCCTCACACACAAGCTAAACAAAAACCACCCCTCCCCCCACAAAACCCCAGCACCAAGTGTGTCAATCATTCCTGGAAAACTAAACATGCTCCTTGGATTCTCTGATTTGCTAACTGTTCAAACTTTAAGGACAGAAATGACCTGTGCCCTTGTGGGGAAGAGGGAAGACATCTTAAAATGACTACAGAGCCATTGAGAAAGTGCATTATCAATTACACAACCAACTTAGAGCATCTCCCTCCAAAGGAGGTGGGTACAATTTGATTTACATGCCTCAGTAAATGAACATTTATGTCCTCGGGATAAGGGAGATGATGGAGTGGCCAACCTCATTTTAATTAAAAGTGCAGTAGTCTACCATCTTTCCCCCATGCTTCTCAAGAAAATGATTGCACAGACTCAGAGAAGTCCAAAGTCATAGCAGAATCTCTGAGGCACTCCTGGTTACGAGAGAAAAAAATATGATCCAGTAATCTTCATAGTTCTATAGATTACGAGAGCAAACCCGTTTTGTTTTTAAACAAAAGTCAAAGAATCATTTCATAGGGATCATATACACCATTTCCTCTGACATGTCCACAGTCTCACAGTGTTGAAATGGGACCGATCAGCCTACGATGGATTGCACATCACCCAAGGAAAAAGGAAGGCATGGAAAAGGCAAAGATTTTACACTGTTTCACAACCACATTTACAAGGAATAGAAGATATGGGACAAGGGGGAAAGAAAACCTTATTGCTGTTTCCATACAAAATACAGTATATGAAGATACCTAGACCAAATCTGATTGTGATGACTCAATATTTTCACAAAGGGGATGAAGTCTGTTCTTGAACAATGAAATGTTCACTTTAAAAGATAAGCAGAGAGAGGAGAGAGGCTTTCAAAACTACACCTGGGATATTAGCTGCATATTGAAACTTGGGGATCGAGATTGCTTGGTTAAGGGGGCTCCTGGACTAAGGAGCTCTTTGCTTTCACCAGCCTGACCCAGCCGGTCTTCCTGTAGACTGATAGTTGAATATCGATTAGCATTGTTGGCTCCTAAATTAGTAACTGCCTCAGTGCCAACCCCAATGCTGGTACCTGCTTGACCACCATTTACATAGTCAAATGATTTACTTGAGGAAGCACTGGCTGTCCGGATTAGACTTAAACTATTGGTTTTTGGCACCACCTGGCCAGCAGGAAGACTCAGGTGTTTTTTCATCGGTGTCAACTCTATTGAATCTACACTAAGATCAGCTGGTTGCTGTACATACTGCTTGCGAATTACTGCATCTCGAGGGCTCTCACTGGACTTGATGGTAGAGGCTGTTTCTTTGTCCTTGGTGGAACGCCCCGCTGCTACTTTCCTCAGGCTTCCCCTCTGAGACGAGGAGGATGGTTTAGTTCCAATTGGTTGGCTGCTGAGGGAAGCCCCTGATGAAAAACCTTCATCTGCATCATTCATGTTTACGGGTTCATCTCCATTTATACCCTCAGCACCTAAAATAGAAATCAGACAAACTCAGCAATAGCCTAATTAAAATTTAAAAAAAAACAAACAAAAACTGAACAGCTGCGACTATCAACACTGATCTTATTTCTTGGGTAATGTTTGCTACCTACTGGCAATAGCCCTATTATCAAATCTACACTGAATTCTTATATTGCTACATATTCTGGCAATTTAATTAATCCAGCTTTTATAAAACTACTATAAAGTATACTGATGTTATTTAGGCGCATAAAACTAGGCAAAGTCTTCATAAATCTTTGTGATATACTGTCATCATCTGAAGTGACCATATCTAGCTATTCAAACAAACAGCCTTTTCCTCATGTTTTCTTGAACCCACCAGAAGGCAGACTGTAATAGATACTCCATCAATTTTAGTTACCCAGCCTTATAGCAAAAGTTCACTCATGCCAGTAGGCCAAACTCTTTTTAAATACAATAAAAATATATTCACAATTGCTAACTGCTTGTACACAGTTCTAAAGCCTTGAAGACAGAACTAGTAAAATCTTTAAAAAACTACATTGCTTTCAGTAATTTCATAGTTATCTTATGAACCAATCCATTCACTGGTTTGTATATATTCTTGATAATTAATTTGAAGAAAATATTATCAAACAGGAAAGGTAGCAAGCTAGCAGAAATATTTAACAATTTGTATTTTCTATATTGCATATTTCTATATTGTTCTGGAGCCTGCACATTGACATATTGTTATCATAATCACAAACTACTAGAATGTCCCATCACATCTCATGCAGACACTGCATTTAATAAGAATCCTCATCTTGGCTTTTGTGTGAAGAAGAGAAATATATATTAGTATATTGAGCTGTGTTTTCCAGAAACCCAATTATCTTAAAGTATGTGAAATATTGTCTTAGAAATTATATATTAAGGGAAATATCAGAACCTATAGAATTGTACTATAAAATAATAAATTTAATAAAAAAGAAAGTAATATGTTTTCTTCTTTCAAAATTATCTTGTTATATCATTACATATTTCCCTAAAACTGCAAGAAAATTTAATCTGAATCTATAAAACAGATATCAACATTATAGTTAGGGTGAATTGTTAGGAAAAAAATTAAGTATTACATAAGCAAAAGGTAATATTAAATGTTTAAACACAATCTTTAACAGTACTTGAAAAAATAAAAATATATTCTTAGCTATATTTATAGAAGAATGAAACAGACTATCCTTAAAGCAAAGGCACCTTATTATATCCAGCAGTTTAATAATTTTTAACTGTCATGCAAAGGCAATGAAAATGCATTTACTAAGAATAGTAGTAGCTGACACCACTTCTCTCAACATCCTTAAAATAACTATATCATTTACCTCAATATAAAAATTTTATGTTCATGTTATTTTAGTAATTTACTTAGAATTACTATAAAGAACTCCAAAATGTCCAGGAAAGGATAGTTACAGGTTGAGGGTTAGAATTAGCAATATAAAACTGGGAGGGAACAGAAACACATCATTAGGTATATCTGTTTAAATAGGAAAGGACATTGAGAGACTTAGTGCTGGCTTTTGAATCTGGCTACATGCAGACCTGATGCCCAAGCAGCATGGCTTTAAAAGATGGTAACAACATAAAAGGCATCATGCAGGACAATCCACTGGCACCTATATTCTAAGAAATGCTGTTTCAATGTAATGGAATACTGAATTCACTTTAATCATAGGTTTCAGCCTCAGTTCACTAATAATTTTAACCTCACCTATAAAGCTCACAAATAGAATACTACCTGATAATCAGAAGAAAAGAAGGTGATAGTCTAATATTCCCCCTTGAATTTCAACATATAAAAAAAAATTTTTTTTCAAATGGTTTATAAATTTTCATTTTTCTGTTTAAATAGCAGAATGAAAGAAAGAGATCTCCCACCCACTAATTCACTCTTCAAATGCACTCAGAACCAGTGCAGCAGCTGAGTCTGAGAACTCAGAACTCAGTCTGGGTCTCCTATGTGGATGACAGGATCTCAGCTGCTTGATTTACCACTGCTGCCTGCCAGAGGCACACAAGCAGCAGCCGAAGTTCAGAGTGTAACCAGCACTGGAACGCAGGCACTCCAAATGTGGATGCAAGCATCTTAACCAATATGCCAAACACTTTCCCCAAACACAATTTTACTTGTAAGACTGTTTTAAACCATAATACATAAAAACAGGTTGTCTTAAGGCAAACATTTCTCAAAATTTTAAAGCAACCTTTACATTTTCTCCTTAGTTGATAGTACCAATCATGATACAAAGAAGAAATATCTAAAAAAATATATTTTTAAGAATTTTTCTATTCATGAATTCTGTTGCTTATCAACTTAGTTTCTACTAATACTGGTTTTAAAACTACGATTAACCTCAATTAGAAGAGAAAATAATTTTTACAAATGCAATTATGATAAGAAACTTATTTCCCTTTCCTTGTGCCTATGCATCCACCCCCTCCCTAAAACTAACTCTTCACCAGTGATAAGAGATATTAAAATAGGGTATTTTAATCACTAATGTTAAATATTTAACAGAATGTAATGAGATATTAATAAGGATATTATTCTGGTTCCTTTGTCAAAGGGCAGACCTTTGATGAACTGGAAAAAAGCCTTTAAGCCTAATCCTACACTTTCAATAGAAAGCTGTTCAGTGTGGATAAATCCACATTCTAAAAACAGTAGACGTTTATTAAGTAGTTCACTTAATTTTCAAGCATGGTGAGAAATCAGCTATTGATCAATTTAAGGCAATTCTTTGATTTCTAGAACTATTCCCCTTTTAAAATTTTTATGCATTTTATACAAAATAAAAACTGAGTCCTAGGAATAACATAAAGAGATACAGGAAAAGCAAAAAGGGGAGAGTGCACTTTACATAGACATTTAAACAAAGATTTCTTAAACAGTACCAACTTCTCTAAGTCCCTACATCATGCACATGCAACACTGTTAAATGAAGTAAGGTCCACTTGGGCAAATCAGCAAGGGAACAGAGGGTAGATTTACAGTCTTACTGAGCATGCTGAGATTCCTAATGCACCAAAGAGCAGGAGGCTTCCCGAAGGTGGAAGCTGACTGCTTTAATTGGTTTGGTCTTTTAAAATATGTAACCTCTTTTAAAATCACATGGTTTATTTAATAAGTTAGTGTAGAGGTTTCACAGTACCAATATATAAAATAGTGAAAAAACTATTTGGTTGTAGCCCTTTTTTCACAAAGTCAATTCCTATGGCATTTCATGTAAAGCAGCAAGTATTTATCTAGCAAAACAAAGTTTGGTTTTACAGATAGTGATAGTGATGGTAGGTGTGTGAAAAAAATCTCATTTGAGATACCTACATTATAGAAATAAGGACCTATTATATTATCTGCCTTCTAAATTTTACATTGCAATCCCAGCTAGGAACTTTATAAAATAACCATTATTTAAAATTAACTAGTGTGCACCAGAATAGCACACAGAAAAGAGCCCAGCAGTTCAGTGGTTAGACAAAGAAAAGTTATTCTTTAGATTATAAAGTCTACCAATACTGTGCACTCTGTCAAAGAGATTAGAAATTCTTGTTAATTTTAACACCCTAGTATCACAGAAAAATCATCCTTTCAGTTTCTCAGAGATTATATGCTACTGTTGCAAAGCTCTTTTTACAGATTTTTAAAGAAATAAATTATTATATAAATAAAATAATGTATACTGACTAGCAGGCTCATGTCCACTGGGTGCATTGTTTGTTTCCTTAGACTAAACATGCTCAGTAATGAAAAAATTCAAAGCATTTGCAGGATTTTTGGAGACAGGCCCCCACCCCACCTTGTTAGTAGCCATGCCAAGCTGTTTCTGATTACATAGGGATGCAAACTCCAGGCCAGCACAAATGGTAACTAAAGATTGTACCAGACCTGGTGCTAGGCACATAGGGAGGGGGTGGGGTGCTTTGCAAGGAAGAGCTAATACACCCTGAGGCAGTGGAAACACACACTAGAATGGAAAGATGTTCTGCTTGGGGTTAGAGAGCCAGGATCCTTCTCCAGCAACTGCCTCACTGACTTCTGTCTCCTGATCTCTGTCCTACCCTCTGTTGTGGCTGCTGCTGAGTTGGGCTCCGGCGAGCCAGGCTCAGAGGTCCTGCGCACCAGCACCTCCCCCTCTTGCACACGTTTGATCCCTAGGTCAGTGGAGCCGTGTTGGATCGGGGAGCCAGGAATACTCGAGTCAGCCTCGTTTGAGAAGTCAAAGCCATCTGGGATTCAACATATAAAATTTTAGTGCTTTTGTGCTGTTCTATTCTTTTTTGAGCATTTTGACCCAGGCAGATAAGAGAATGTATATATGGACATGATATAAACACAAACACTATTTGTATAGTTACATGTGTGTGCACAGCATGCACACACATTAGACGGTAAATGAACAATGTGAGGTTCGCAAATGAATATAACAGAAAGATAAGAATCATTAAAATGACAATTAATATCTACTTAGGCAAGACAGCTTAACTATTCAAGTACCATGTCTATGACACACTGCTGGATTCAGCACTCACATAAAGGAACAGCAAAGATAAAAACCCAAAACTATGAACCAACTGTTTCACACATAACTTCCATACTGCTTGGCCAGTTACACTGTTTCCTCCCACAATGCTCAAACATGCACTTTCCCTCCCCCCGATACGTTTTAAAAGCCTAAAACAACTTTCCGATTATCATTAGTTCAGAAAAAAGACAAAATTCAACCTGATCTTATTTTCTGCTTTAACATTTTAGGGCAATCTAAATAACATTTTTCTGTTTGATGGATACGTATAGTGAAATAACTTTAGCATTTAGTATTTCTGGCACTATTTTAAAAATTAATATTTTTGCTTTAATCATAAACAGTACCCTGATATCCTGTATTAAAACAGTCTGTCCAAACAGTGCTAAGTGTATTTGTATCCATGAGTAAGACAATTTTGTACTTACCTTCTCTCCTCCATCTATGACGGCGTATTGAAGCTGTTGTAATTGCAGTCCGAGAAATCCTCGGCACTGTTGGAGTGACTTCTACTTTAAGTACTTTCTGGCCTTCTTGTGAGGAGTCAGGAGCATCAAATGGTAATGAGTTTTTCATTGCATTGGCAACCTGAAATTCATGCACATTTACAGACAATATAATCTTTGTTTATTGTATATGTTTTGTATCCATAATTTTTGAAAATGTATGTAAAACCTACTCTATTAAAAGTATAAATGTATTAGAAATACTTGTCTCTCTTATTCTGAATTCTAAAAGGTTTTAAAATGAGAGATTATTGGTATAAATATGTGAGTCATTTACTCCACTACTTGCTTAAAGTAGTTGACTTTGAAAGAGAAATGTTTTTCTTTCTTTCTTTTTTTGTTTTTTAAGGTTTATTAATCTTTATCATTTGAAAAGCAGATTTCCAGAAAGGAGAGACAGGAAGAGACCCTCTATCTGCTGGTTCACTCCCCAATGGTTGCAACAGCCAGAGCTGAGCCAATCCAAAGACAGGCGCCAGGAACCAGGAACCTCCTCCTGATCACCAACAACGGTGCAGAGTCCAAAAGACCTGGGCCATCCTCTGCTGTTTTCCCAACACTAAAAGCAGGGAGTTAGATGGGAAGTGCAGCAGCCAGGACCGGAACTGGTACTCATATGGATGTTATGTTAATTCTCCACACTTGCAGGTAGATAATCAGTCTGTCAAGTGATGGCACCAACTCAAAAAAAAAAAAAAAAAAGGTTTTCAAACAAAAAACTCTTCATTTGAACTCAATAAAAAAACAATTTTGTATAAAAGACATTTTGCATAAAAGATTCTTTAGAAATTGCCATTAATAAAAGATTATTCCAAGACCAGAGATTACTAACCTCAATCTATATTGCCTGGAAAATGCTACTTCTACTTAAAGCATAGCATTGTTCCAGGATGGGTCCAGCACGGTAGCCTAGTATCTAGATATCTTGCCTTGAATGCACCAGGATCCCATATGGGTGCAGGTTTATATCCTGGCTGCTCCACTTTCCCATCCAGCTCCCCGCTTGTGGCCCGGGAAAGCAGTCGAGGATGATGCAAAAGCCTGCGGATGCTGCACTTGTGTGGGAGACCCAGAAGAAGCTTCTGGCTCCTGGCTTCACATCAGCTCAGCTCCAACTGTTGTGGCTATTTGGGGAGTAAACCAGCAGATGGAAGATCTTTCTGTCTCTTCTTCTCCCTGTAAAAAAATCTGACTTTCCAATAAAAATAAATAAATATTTAAAAACATTGCTGCAGGAATAAAATAGATTTGAATAGTCTCAAAGATACAAGTTATTTCTTTTTTTATAATGACATAATTTTTAAATTTTGTTATCCTTGTAATCCTTAGGGGTAAAATTAGGAATGTTGATAAAAAAGAAACTGGGAATGCAAATACCAAAGAATTACTGCAAATGTTGCTTCAAAACATTTCTATTTAGTTTAAAATATAAAATTAATAGCTGTTCCTCTTCCCATCCAGCTCCCGGCTTGTGGTCTGAGAAAGCAGCTGAAGATGGTCCAAAGCCTTGGAACCCTATAACCATGTGGGAGAACCGGAAGAAACGCCTAGCTCCTGACTTTAATCAGCTTAGCTCCAGCCTTTGTGGCCATATGGGGAGTGAACCAGCAGATTGAAGATCTTTGTCTCTCCTTCTCTCTAAATCTTATCTGCCTTTCCAGTAAAATTTAAATAAATTTATGGGCAAAAGATAGTATAGAAGTACTTGAACAGAGCAAAGTGTCTGGTCCATCAATCACTAAATGCTAGTCTCCCACATAAGGCAATATCAATGGTTCAGGCAAGAGAATTCCTGTCACCCAGATGGGAGACCTGGATTGAATTTATAGCTACTGGTTCAGCCTATCCCAGTTCTGGAAACTGAGGGCACCTGGGGAGTGAAACAGCAAATAGGAGCTATCACTATCTATCTGTTTCTAGTTCTTAAGTCAACAAACAGTAAAATATCAGCATAAAAATACTACTAAAAGTTTTAAAAAGGGGAGGAGGTTGGGAGACATAAAAATCACAAATTGATCACCTAGAAAACTATTAGCATTTTGGATTGTTTCGTCTACACTGTCTAGATTTAATTAGATGTGGGATTGTTGTTGCAAGCTAAGTATTTGCCTGACACACTGACATGCAATATCAATGTTGATTCCATTTCTAACTGCTCCACTTCTAATCCAGTTCCCTGCTAAATGCCCGGAAAAGCAGTGGATGATGGCCCAGGTGCTTGGGTGCTGCACCCATATGGGAAATAACTCTTGCCTTAGCCACTGCAGCCAAGTGGGGAGTAAACCAGCAGACAAAGGATTTTCTCTCTCTTCCTTCTTCTTAACTCTGCCTTTCAAATAAAATAAATTAAAAAAAAGTTCTTTACACAAACTGGCAAATACAGAATTTAGGCAGATGTCTATCACTAAACTCACAGACTGTTGTTAATCTTTGGCAGTTAAAGTACTATTGCAGGGCCCAGCATGGTAGCCTACTGGCTTAAGTTCTCGCCTTGCATGTGCCCAGGATCCCATGTGGGTGTTAGTGTCTGCTGGTTTGTGTTCCAGCTGTTCCACTTCCCTTCCAGATCCCTTCTTGTGGCCTGGGAAAGCAATGTAGGAAAGCCCAAGGCTTTGGGACCTGAGCCCCTGTGGGAGATCCTGAGTAGGCTCTTGGTTCCTGCCTTCTGAATAGCTCAAGTCTGGCAGTTGCAGCACTTAGGGAGTGAACCAGCTGATGGAAGATCTTTCTCTCTGTCTTTCCTTCTCTCTGTAGATCTGACTTTCCAACAAAAATAAAATAAATCTTAAAAAAAATAGTTTATGGGGAGTAAGAAATCATTTTTTATAGAGTAAAGTATTAACTGGCTTTTTTTTTCTATACCTGCTAAGATTATTTTTCTCCATTTGTACACAGTATGCTTTGATTTAAAAAACAAAACAAAACAAAACATGGTTTAGAATTCAGATTGTTGGGATGGGCGTTACACCTAGTTAAGAAGATGCTAGCTGGAAATACATCGCATATTTAATGCCCAGATCCAGTACTTAGCTTGGAGGCTCCAGAATGCAGCTTCCTGCTGGTGCAGGCCCTGGGAGGCCGCACTGAGAGCTAATGACACCCAGTGGGGGAGACTCAGATTGAGTTCCTGCCTCTAGTTTCACACTGGACTCGCCCCAGCTCTTGCATGCTTTTAGGGAAGTGGAACAAGCAGCTGAAAGCTTTTTCTGTCCTCTTTGTCTCAAAAAATAAATAAATAAAATAAAATAAAATAAAAATAATGGAGAATAGAGAAACTTACCAATAATGGCTGAGAAAAGAGTTCTAGCTGAGCTCTATAAATGATGTCATCAAGAGCTTCCTGACCAAGGTCCCACTGTCCATTATACCTATAGAGAAGCATATTAACTATTTGAGCAAATACCTCTAATCTCCCATTATTTAACTGTCCTATTATTAATTAATTTCCCATTTAAAAATTGTTCAAAGTTCTATTACTTTTGGGTGTGAGATCAGATTTTCATATCAACTTTTAATTATTCCATTTCCAATGTCTCACTTTTGTTTTAAGAACAAGATGAAGATTTCAAATAATATATTTTAAGTAGTTTCAAAGATGTCTCTTCATATTAATTGGTCTTTATCATGTGTTGATGTTCAGAGTGATACATTTGATGCATGCATGAAAATCTGGATTATGAACCTGTAGAGATATGCATGTGTGTAGTTTTCCACACAGAAAACTAGACAATTTCTAAGAAAACTGCAATTTTAATGACTAGTCATATGTGGCTATTTTCAAAGTACTAAACAGAAAGAGAAACGCGATCACTGACCCATTATGCAGCTCAAGATTCAGTGTTGTTTAATAAGGAAGACAATGATTTTCCAATCATTACAAAAAAATTATATAATTTTATAGTCGATGAAGTTACTTACATGGCATAATAAATGCCTGTGAGAAGTTGCACCATAAACTCAGGATCCAATACTATTCGGCCACAGAGTTCTTTCCAGTGTTTTTCATGTTGCCGTGGAAACCCACTCACACATACCCTAGGAAAATACACTGGTTAGCAAGTGTGATTTCCTGATGCACTAAATCTTTTTCTCTTGTAAATTTATTCAAATTGCCCATTTCTTAAAAATTTACTGAGTGCCTGATATATATATGTACATTACTCAGTGCTTAAAATATGAAAAGACAAATTAAAAATAAAACCTGTTTTCTAATTAAATAGGTATCCTAGTAGACCACATCAACCAAATAAACTTTTTTTTTTAAGATTTATTTTTATTGGAAAGGCGGATATACAGAGAGGAGAGACAGAGAGGAAGATCTTCCGTCCAATGATTCACTCCCCAGGCGGCCGCAACGGCTGGAGCTGAGCCAATCTGAAGCCAGGAGCCTCCTGCAGGTCTCCCACATGGGTGCAGGGTCCCAAAGCTTTGGGCCATCCTCGACTGCTTTCCCGGACCACAGGCAGGGAGCTGGATGGGAAGCGGGGCTGCCAGGATTACAACTGGTGCCCATATGGGATCCTGGGCGTGCAAGGCGAGGACCTTAACCACTGCGCCATCGCGCTGGGCCCAACCAAATAAACTTTTTAAAAAGTTAAGCACCTTTTCAACAATCATCCTTTTCCTTCACACACATATGATTCATTCCAATTTGTATTAGCGGAGACACAGAAATCTCAAACAGGCATTTCAAAATACTGTGAGACCATTTTAAAACAAAGCATCATAAACAATTCCTTACCCTTTATTTCACTAACAGATCTTTAAAAAATAATGAATGATTATCAAAGTTACTATATTAATTAATTCATTAGAACTGCAATGTTGAATTTAGAAGAAATTTTTTTAAAATTCAATTTGTATATTTATTTATAGTAATGCAGTAAATTTAGGTGGTGATGAAAAGACAAGTTGAAAATGGCATTTATTATGTTGGGGCTGGTGTGGTGGCTCAAACAGGCCAATCTTCCACTTGCCATATGGGCACTGGTTTGTTTCCAGGCTGCTCCACTTTTGACCCATCTCCCTGCTTAGAGCCTGTGAAGGCAGCAGAAAATGTCCCAAGTCCTTGTGACCCTGCTCCCATGTGGGAGACCAGAAAGAAGCTCCTGGCTCCAGGCTTCCCTTCCAGTTCCCTGTTTGTGACTTGAGAAAGCAGTGGAGGATAGCCCAAAGCCTTGGGACCCTGCATCCATGTGGGAGAACCAGAAGAAGAACCTGGCTTCAGATCGTATCAGTACTGGCCATTGCGACCACATGGGGAGTGAATCAACGGATGGAAGAAGTTCCTCTCTGTTTCTCCTCCTCTCTGTATTTCTGACTTTCCAATAAAAAAAAAAAAAATCTTGAAGAAAATAAATAAATAAATAGCACTGTTTTAGTGACAACAATATGTGAGCAAAGTGGAATAGAAATTGCCTTTCAAGGAAAAAAGGAAAAATACATGAAACCATTAAAGATCATGGTCATTTATTCCTGAAATGGCCTATGACAGATATCAGATCACTGTGGCATTTATATTACATATATTTAAAATAGTAATCCAAAAGTTATTTATTATGTCAATACATTTACATTCTGAAAATTATATCATTTACAATAATTTATGATAGGATGAAAAATTTTTTTCAGGCCTGGTACGGTAGCGTACTTGCTAAAGTCCTAACTTTGCATGCACCAGGATCTCATATGGGTGCCCGTTCCTGTCCCAGCTGCTCCACTTCCCATCCAGCTCCCTTCTTGTGGCCTGGGAAAGCAGCAGAGGATGGCCCAAAACCTTTTGGGTTAGCTCAGCTCCGGGCATGGCAGCTAGTTGGGGAGTGAACCAGTGGATGAAAGATCTCCCTCTCTGTTTCTCATTCTCCATATAAAATCTGACTTTCCAATACAAATAAATAAATCTTTTTTTAAATTTTTTTTTTAGTTTTTTTTATTGGAAAGGTGGGTATACAGAGAGGAGAGACAGAGAGGAAGATCCTTCGTCCGATGATTCACTCCCCAAGTGAGCGCAACGGCTGATACTATGCCAATCTGAAGCCAGGAGCCTCCTCGGGTCTCCCACGCGGGTGCAGGGTCCCAAAGCTTTGGGCCGTCCTCGACTGCTTTCCCGGGCCACAGGCAGGGAGCTGGAAGGGAAGTGGGGCTGCCGGGATAGAACTGGCGCCCATATGGGATCCTGGGGCATGCAAGGCGAGGACCTTAACCACTGCGCCACCGTGCTGGGCCCACAAATAAATAAATCTTTAAAAAAAATTTTTTTAAAGAGCAAGGTAAATTTTTTTCAAAATTCTTTAGAGAATATGTGAGCAGAAATTTGAGGCTTACTAATCTCTGCCATTAGTTTTTTTTTAATTAACAAATTCTGTTAAATACCACAATAGTATTACCAATAAGAGAGCTGGCAGATTTCTTTTTATGAGCCAAAAAACAGTCACTTACAAAGAAACGTATCTGCAAAGAGGTGGTAGATGCTTAAAGAGTGTATTGTTTTCAGAAACAGCATCTGAGTTAGACAAGAACTTTGAAGGGCACTAATCATGTCATTATAAGCAAGAAAAAAATAATTATAAATCAAAAATACAAAATCAGAATTACAACTAATTCAGATTGACCTCCTCCCAATTAGGAAAATTAATTCCTTAATCGATGAAATTCTGTAATTCCATCCACTGTCTCCAAACCAATTTATAGCACTTATTCATTTTTATAGAGCAAATTTTAATTTCAGCCCACATCTGTTCAAATCACTAACAATTCTTATTTAATATATATTATATTCTGTGAGACACACAGAGACACACCCGTATAGACACACACACAACTGGAACACATGGCTAACCGCTGTTGCTGCTGATCTTCTACTCAAAGTTATTTATCAATTAATTGGAAATGACTAGGTATTATTACTAAACAACCCTAAACTTAGATATCTTGGCTTAACTTCATGTTCAGTTAGAAACTAGTTTATGCCGAAGTCATAAGGAATGATAAGAATTCCAACTGGAAAGCAGCTCTATGAACTCTGTCTGTGATCTACCACTTGGAGTTAGAACAAAGCCTAGAACACAGACAATGTTCAACAAGTATTTGTCAAATAAATGAATGACTATGAAGGTTGTAGTAAGTATTCTCTCACCTGGAACCCATCTGACACAGAGATTGGTAAGATGAGGCTGGCATATACACAATAGCAGAATTATAACACAACATGAGAAAACTCAGGACTTCAAACCTAAAAAGAAAACAACAGAAAAAGATTACACACAATTTCTACTAGAGACCATAGTAAATAACATATTCACTAGTGATAATAATGCCTTAATGCTCATCTTGATTTCTCAGTTCTGGTTGTTAGCCTTTTGGGGAGTTAACCAGCTCATGGAAGATTCTCTCTCTCTCCCCCTTTCTCTCTCTCTCATTCTCTCAACTGCCCCTTTCTTTCTGTAATTCTTTCAATTAAATAAGTAAGTCTTAGGAGCCACCATTATATCTTAACAGGTTAAGCCATTGCCCGAGATGTCGACCCCCCAAATGAGGCCAGGCTGATTCCCAGTGCCTCACTTCTGATCCAGTTCCCTGCTAATGCAATTGGGAAAGCAGCAGAAGATGGTCCAAGTCCTTGGGCCCCGCACCCATATGACAGACCTGGCAGAAGCACTCACAGTTTTAGACTGGTCCAGGTCTGGCCATTGTGGCCATCTGTGGAGTAAACCAACAGATGGAAGATCTCCCCATTCTCTATCCCATTCTCTATTACTTTGCCTTTCAAACAAATATATTTTAAATTTAAAAATAAGCAAATAAATCCTAAAAGAAAACAAAATAGGAACCAGGCACTCCTATATAGGATGTAGACATGCCAAAGAAAGCAGCATCTTAACCAGTGTACTAAAAACACTTGCACTTGCAGTTTTTCTTAATAACTTATACAGTTAATGCACATTTAATGGTGTAAAAAAGTGTCTATATTCTTTATATACTTGATTATTAATAAAATCTAAAATGGCAAGAATAAGACATAAGCACAGTGAGTATCATTCTTCACACACACTAAGATGTCTTCAATCAAAAAGATGGGAAATACTTGTTGATAGAAGAAACTGTTTCTCTCAGATTGCTGGTGGAAATGCAAAATGGTGCGTCCACCCACTGTGAAAAACCGTATCAAGTTCATTGAATTATTATATCAGCCAGCAATTCACTCCTAAATAATTGAAAATATCTACATATACACAAATTTGTAATTGAATGTTTATAGCAGCTACGACAGGGTGAATTGCTTCTCCAATTCATATACTGAAACCTAATTCCCAATGTAGTAGGAGGAAGAGGTTAGTCCTTTGAAACTGAAAAAAAACCTGAAAACCTTGTTTATACTGTCTACCATTTACAAAGCACAGGCTGTAAGCCCTTACCAGACACAAATATGTAAGTGCACCGATCTTGAACTTCACAGCCTACAGAAATGCAAGCACTGTTGTTTATAAACTGCCTTGTCTAAGGTATTTTGTTTTAGCAGCCCAAATGGAGTAAGACAGCACAATTATTCCCAACAGCCAAACGCGGGCGGGGGTTAAAAAAAAAAAAGGTGGAAAAACCCAAAGGTTCATCAAATGATAAATGGAAAAACAAAATATGACATAGCAATACAATGGAATATTATTTGGTCATAAAAAGGAAATACTTAAACACGTACCACACAAGTAACCTTGAAAACATACTAAGTGAAAGAAGACAAGGCTACATGTTATAAGAATCAATTAATAAAGAATGTCTAGAAGAGACAAAACCAGGGATAAAAAATAACTAAATGGTTACCGGAGTTGGAAGGGAAATGGGGTGACTGTAACGGCTTTGGGAAAGAAAAAAAATGTTATATTTTCAAATGGTGGTGGTGGTTGTGAATATACTAAAAATTATTCAATTGTACACTTTCAAGGAATAAATTTTAGGATATGTTTTACATCTTAATTAAAAACAGAGACAACAACTAACTGGAAATATATAACATGTAAAAAAGCTCTTACAAATCACTAGCGAAAAAATATACAGTTAAACAAGAAAAATGGACACAGAACATAAGTATGCAGTTCACAGATAAAGAGAAACAGTTGATTTGCACCTATTGCTATAGTGTGATATGCTCTCATTCCCAACCTCATATGCAGATGTTTAAACTCCAAAATCAGAAGATAATGGCACTGGGACAGGCAGTTTGCAAGTGAGTGAAGCCGTGCCTGGAATGCTGGTATCCCATACCAGAGCACAGTTCAATCCCACTTTGTTTCTGATCCTGTTCCCTGCTAATGGGCCTGGAAAAGCAGTGCAAATGCCCAAGTGTTTGGGCCCCTACTTCCCACATGGGAGACCTAAATGGAGTTTGTGGCTACTGGTTGTGGGCCAGGAAACACACATATATATACACACACGCACACACACATCCTACACACACACCCCTAGATTTAGCTAGACTTCAGCTAATTTCTATGACAGTTTCATACAAGTTTATCAGAAAGTAAGTCAAGGGGAGGGATGTATAATGGTAGTACTATGCTTATCATGTACTAAGCATAGATCCCCACCTATACATGACTATTTCATCTTAGAAGTAAAAACCAGGGGATGTCTATCTAGTAAATATGACCTTGCCCAAAGGGAAGTCTGGTCTTTGCTTCCAGGAAGTAATTTATGTCATATTAAATAGGAGTGTTTTGTTTAGGGTGGGGGTTGTTGTCACTAGAACTTAGCATGGGGCTGGCCACATGTGACATTTTCAGGTAAAGGCTGATCATACTAGAGAGAACTACATGTGATTTAAGGTGAATAATTTTATGACATATAAAGTCAATCCAGAGCATGAGATCAACCATGCTGGAATCATTTAATCAATCATGCCCACGTAATGAAGACTCAATAAAAGCTCTGGAAACCGAAAAATGAGTGAGCTTTCCTACTTAACAATACTCTGTTGTGTGCTATCACACCCCGATGCTTGCAGGGTAATGTGTGTTGACTCCATGGGAGAGGACAACAGAAGCTTTTGCGTCTGGAATCTGTCCATACTTGATTCCATGCAACTTTCTGTTGGTGTCAGAAATGAGGGTGGTGTTCAGGATTGTGCCATCAAACTTCACTTAAGGTTATACTGCACTTAAGGTTATACTAACTTCTACCACAGACAAAGCAAGTTATAGACAGTATAAAGACTACCGGAAGGGGAAAGTTTCCAAATGGCAGTACCAGAATATGAATCCTGCCTTAGCAGACACCATACACAAACTTTGAGTTTTCCTGTCATTTTATAGAAGATGAGCACAACATAATACCAAGCATTACAGAGAAAAGAAGTTCACTACAGGATGAGTATCTCTTAACCAAAATGTCTGGCATTACAACTGTTTCAGATTTGAAATGTTTACAGATGCTGGGGGCATTTCAATTTTGGCGTCAGGGATGCTCAACCTTAGTAAATATATTTTGTTAGCATGATACATTTAAGTTTTTGACTATTCTGATACTAAACTTTAACTGAAGTAATAATTACAGTTAACAATCAAACATAAACTAAAATTGTTACTGCTCACAGTTCTGACCATTACCGGTTTTGTGCAGTGAATGTTTCTCTCTGTGGATGAAGATCACTATAAACAACTCTGATGAGATCGTGTTGACACAGTGCCCCTTCTGTCAAAGCCATGGACCCGATTGTTGAGGGCTACAAAGATAAAGTACAAAATGAAACAGTGACTCTCAAAGGAAGTAAACAAATTCTGTGAAAATAAAAGATAGTTTCAGATTATTTATCCTTCTCTTTCCAAATTTTTTTCCATTTCTCAATCATAAAAACTCTACAACTCCTTTTGGAAATTATATATAGGGAAAATTGAAAATACAATGTTTTAGCTTTTCAAAAACTGTGCAATGAACTTATATGTAAGAAAGAGAATAAGGAAAGCTGTTGAAATGACTAAAAGTTAAATAGATATATTCCAATGATATATCATAGATTATAACCACTTGTATTGCTTGTAATATTCAGAGGAATTAGGAAAATTAATAACTGCTTAGAACAATAAGATAAACAAAGCACTACTGTGTGTTGACAGGCAAATAGAATATAATTTTTAAATGACTGGTAAAGTTTCTTTAAATGTTTTCCTCACAACTTCATGCAGACATTTGACTTAAATGCTTTAAGTGTTTCTTTCCTGGGTTTTACTTAAATAGAGTAGATACAGAGTTCAGCTTAATAAGAGTCATCTGCTCATGCAATTACCAGTGTTCTCACTACTAAATATATAAATATAACCAACAAAGTATGTTTTTAAACCACTAAAATGCATCAATTATACTCTTTCAAACTGAAATATATCAATCAGGGTGTTAACATTCTTAAACAGTATTTAATTTTCCTAAATAATAACAAAAACCAGTATTTTAAGTAATTTCTAATTAACATGAAGACCTTAAAAAGTAATATACTAACAGAATAAAAAATTACAGGATAATTTTACAACAATTATTTCCAGCCCCCTCTGACACAGCTGAGTGTTACACATAACTAGTAACAGCTACTTAGTAAGAAATAAATCAAAGATAGCTGGTGTAGTACGTCAATACTTCTCCTTTGGCACCAGCATCCCACACGGGCCCCAATTCAAGTCCTCACTGTTCCACTTCCAATTCAGCTTTCTCCTAAGGGTCTAGGAAAACACTGAAGGCTGACTCATGGCCTTGGTCCCCTATGCTCAAGTGGGAGACTGCTGGCTAGAGGAAGCTACTGGCTCCACGCCTCAGACCAGCCCAGCTGATATGGCTATCGGCTATCGGGAGCGTAAACCAGCAGAAGGACGACCTCACTGTAACACTTTAAAGTAAAATAAAATAAATCTTGCTTTTTTCTTTTTAATCATCCAAGATGCAATATTTAATATGGGAAAAATAGAATTTTAATCTCTTTTAAAAACAATTTCACTTTTTACTGTTACTTACTTCATGGTATATTGAAGGCTTGGATAAGGAAGGGATAGTGAAAGATAAAACTTTATTGTTTCCATCTTTATCGGCAATTTCCTAGAGTCAAAAAAACAAAAACAGCAAACAAAATAATCAAAGGTCTGTAAGAAATAATATCCATCTTAATTTATAGACTATCATAGTAATAAAGATTCCTAGAAATATTACACAAAAATACTGACTGTCCTGGATACCTTTTCCAATTTATTAATTTACACAATTTGGAAGCAGACTTACTACCTATAGGCAGATATTGAGAACAATATTATATTGAATTAAATATAATGAAGATGTGAAAAAAAGCACACAAATCAATTTTCATATGAACAGAGAGCTGTAAGTTATTAGATCTTTTAGTGAAAACATCTGAGCAAATTACTGACATCAAAATTAAAGTGTAAGGCCTGGCACAGTAGCCTATAGGCTGGGATCTCATATGGGCACCGGTTTGTAACCCAGCTGCTTCACTTCCCTTCCAACTCCCTGCTTGTGGCCTGGGAGGGGCAGTGGAGGACGACGCAAGGCCTTGGGACCCTGCCCCCGTGTGGGAGACTTCTAGGAGGTTCCAGCCTCAAGGCTTCAGATCAGCTCATCTCCACCTGTTGTAGCCTCTTGGGGAGTGGGTCAGTGGACAGATTTTTCTTTCTGTCTCTCCTCTCTGTGAATCTTTCCAATTTAAAAAATTAAAAAATAAATAAAGTTTTAAAAGTAAATAAATCTTAGAAAAAACTAAAAGTGTACTGGGGCGAGCTAATGATGGCTACTGGTCAACCAAGAAACCAAGACTTTATGTCCAGTTGATCTCAGAAGCAGCAGAATCTCCAATCCAAGGTACTAGAACCAGGGGCTATGTGTCCTGGAATAGAAACACACAATGCCTGTCTTACGTTGACATTTCTGTAGGGAAGAGGATCATGCCCAAGTACACATGAATGATGACCATGCCGAGGTATACAACTATGTGAACCAGTTGAGGATCCTGTATGCTGCTTCAAAGGCAAAAAAAGCCAGCAATTTTTTAGAGTGACAATGATAATACGGGAGACAGTCACTGGTACAAGATTGAATTTCTGTAACTTGTGAGATGGACCTTTTGGCCCTGTAAATGACACAGGCAGTGATTTTTTTTTAAAGAGTAATTTTTTATTGGAAACTCAGATATACAGAGAGGAGGAAAGACAGAGGAAGATCTTCCATCCACTGGTTCACTCCCCAAGTGGCTACAATGGCCAGAGCCGAGCCGATCTGAAGCCAGGAGCTAGGAGCTTATCCCGGGTCTCCCATGCAGGTGCAGAGTCCCAAGGATTTGGATTGTTCTCAACTGCTTTTCCAGACTACAAGTAAGGAATTGGATGGGAAGTGGGGTCGCCGGGACACAAACTGGTGCCCAAATGGGATCCTGGCACTTGCAAGGCGAGGACTTTAGCTACTAGGCTGCCATGCTGGGCCCAGAGGGAGAGATTTGTAAACAAGGAAATAAATGCAAAGGCTATACCCCTAACCAGTAGGGAGCAGCTACAGAAGATGAGATGAATCTGTATCTTTCAATACCCCTTAGTTAAAGAATAAGGATCAGAGGCCTCTGAGAAGGGAATAAGACAAGCGGGCAGCTAGCTTAGACTGAGCTGAAGCCATATCTTCACTGTCCTATGTAATGCCAACTCTATCCTTGAATATATCTTGTATTAATAATAATAATTAAATGATTGGAGCAGGGCCTGGCACGATAGCATAGTGGTTAAAGTCCTTGTCTTGCACGTGTCGGGATCCCATATGGTCGCTGGTTCTAATCCCGGCAGCCCCACTTCCCATCCAGCTCCCTGCTTGTGGCCTGGGAATGCAGGCGAGGACGGCCCAAAGCCTTGGGACTCTGCACCTGCCTGGAAGAGGCTCCTGGCTTCAGAATGGCTCAGCTCCGACTGCTGCAGTCACTTGGGGAGTGAACCACTGGACAGAAGATCTTCCTCTCTGTCTCTCCTCTTCTCTGTATATCTCATTTTCCAATAAAAATAAATAAATCTTAAAAAAAAAAAAAAAAAGAATTGAGGCAGCCATTGTGGAACAGTATGTTAAGCCACTACCTGTGACACAGGCATCTCACATGATAGCCAGACCAAGTTTCAGATGCTCCACTTTTAATCCAGACCATTGTTAATGTGCCTGAGAAAGCAGAAGATGGCCCAAACAACTGTGCCCTGGCCACCCACATGGGAGACCCAGATCAATTTCCCAGCTTCAGCCTGACCCAGTCTCAGCTCTTGCAACCATCTGGAGAATGAAACAGTAGATGAAAAATCTCTCCCTCTCTTCTCTGTAATTTTGTCTTTCGAATAAAGAAAATTCTTTTTTAAAACAAAGGTGTCAGGCAAGAGATTAATAGTTACTAAAAGAAAAACAAGCTATTCTTACATATCGAAGTGGCATACAACTCACATTTTCTTTTATGTATATGTTGTGAAATGATTACCAAACTGAAATTAATTAACATATCCAATACCTCAGTTACATTTTTGCATTATGGGGAATGCGTTTAAGAATGATTTTTAAACAAAACAAATTCTTACAATCATCTAGCAACAAATTAATGAACTAGGTTACATACAAACACAGCAGGGGATAACACTGTGGGGCAAGGCAAGTTAAGTCAAAGCCTGCGGTGCTGGCATCCCATATGGGCACCAGTTCAAATCCTGTATTTTCCACTTCTGATCTTTTCTCGGACAGTGTACCTGAGAAAGCAGCAGTTCAACTGCTTGGGGTTCTGGACCCATGTGGGAAACACCAAAGAAGCTCTTGGCACCTGGCTTCAGTCTGGTTCAGTCATTTGGAAATGAACAAGCAGATGAAAAACCTCTCTCCTGTAACGCTGCCTCTCAAATAAATAACTCATTCAAAAAAGTAAATTCAAATCTAGGTAAGTTTTACTGAGATACAAGTAAATTCTTGTAAATTTTAAAAGCAATTTATTTCTTCACAAAAAGGTCAATGATACCCTTTTTTCTCCAGTTTATGACACTTCTAATCCTCAGGCTTTAAAATAAAAAACAAACTTCCTACAGATGACAGCAATCACAGCGGTGAATGTTACAACATTTGTTTACTTCCACTGTCTTACTTTTGACTGTTTTTTTTTTTTTTTACAAAGCTTATTAATATACATTACTGGCATAAAGGTCATATAGTAAAGAATGCTTACAAGTTGACCCAGATAGCTACAGAAAACTAAAAGAAATAACAGTAAAACCCACAACTATTATTCCAAAACACAAATCACAGACAGCTTCCCTACAGAATCCTTTTCTAAGTTGATTATGTCATAGAAGAGTACCGGTTACATAATAACCATATATTTAATTTTGGAAGGAAAACTGGTTTTAAAAGTTCCTATAAAGCTCACATAATAACCTTTTGGTAGTCAGTCATACTAATGACTACCACATCTGGGCCATTATACATCAGAGAAAGGTCATGTAGGTTAAGAAGAAAGGATCTAATTAAAGTTACGCAGAAAGACTGTAATATTTATTCCCATTTTAAAATTAAAGCTATACTTTGTTTATTTTTATTGTGGAGAAGGGAGTTGGAATGCCTCCAACAAGATAAGCTTGGGGGGGCGCAGATGCAAGGCTGGGAACCTGCGGAGAAGAGGCTCAGGAAGAGGAGGCAAAAGTCCCCTCATCCAGAGTACATGCTGCCCCTCAGTGTGTCCCTGGAAGAGTTTTCCAGCTCTCCTTGATCCAAGGTGAACATCTGTGCTCTGTCTAGCCAGCTAACCACAGACAGTTCAAGGAAAGCTAACGAAGTGCCTTGATCAACACTGTTGAAATGGGGAGTAGATAAAGAACACTGACTGTCCTTGGTTAGCTGGCTAGACAGAGCACAGATGTGATCTAAGTCTGAGTTGTGTTTGAACTATTGTTTTGTTGAGTGCATAAAAAATGAAATCCTGGAGTGCTCACTTTGGCAGCACACATACTAAAAAATGGAACCCTGGAAATAAACTTTAGTCAGTTGCCCAAAAGAGCACTGTCCCCCCATTTCTTTTGGGTTGCTCTTCTCCCCAGGAAATCTGCAAGGTAAACCTGCAGAAGGGTATGCCGAATTTTGTTGAAGGCAAAGAAGTGCTAGTGAATGAAAGAAAAAATAGAAATGAGTATATCGAAGATATCCAGAATAGTAAGAAAAACAGAACCATATGTAGAAGAAATTCAGAATAGCGAGAAAAACAGAACCACAAAAAAAGAGAACATAGATATCCAGGAATTAAAAGAAGTCAGAAAACCAAGGTTATCTATTTCTGACATGTAACCGGGCATGTTTTATAGTATACACTTTTTTTATGATACTGAAAGATAATTAAACTGTAGCACCCACAAGTACTACCAACAATTGTCAAATACTCTGCTTCACAACACTTTTTGCTTTATTTTGTCCCATCACTGAACTTTATTACACCTAACAAATGAAAACACTATCTTTATGTTAAACATAATCTAAAACATTAAATTACTGTTAAATCAACATTTCCTATGTGTCTTGCTAAGCACTACAGGAAACAATGATAAATCTAACAAATATCCTGCTTTAAAAGAAAAAGCAGTCATGAAAGTTAATGAAACAGTGAATTTAATTTTTATCAGCTTTATATTAAAAGGAAACTTAAAAAAAATTTATTTTTATTTGAAAGGCAGAGTTATACAGAGAGAAGAAGAAACAGAGATCTTTCACCTGCTGGTTCAGTTCACTCCCCAGACGGCCTAACAGCTGGAGTTGGTGCAAATGAAGCCCAGAGCCAGGAGCTTCTTCTGGACACCCGACATGAGTATAGGGCTGCAAGAGCCCAAGAACCTGGGCAAGCCTCTGCTGCCTTACCAGGTCATTAACTGGCAACTAGACTGAGGTGCAGCTGCTTAAACTTGAACCAGTGCCCATATGGGATGCTGGAGTCATAGGTAGAAGCTTAGCCTTCAATGCCATGGTGCCAGTCCCACAAAAGGAAGGTTTTAATTATAATAATAAAAATGATAAACACTTATTATTAAACTTGAGGCAATATGCTATATTATTTCTGTTTTACAAATGAGACAACTGAAGTCAAAATATTAAGTTACTTGTCCAAATTTAGAATAGCCAGTAACAGGATATTGTTTTCAACTGAATACAAGTAACTCTGAAACCCTGACTCCCTGCTTCAGACTCTGAGTGGCGGAAATGTTTTCTAATGTTTTTTAAAGTGATAACACTAACAGTAGTGAGCACTAGTACAGAAGAATATTTATTACCATGAGACCCATTCTATTACCTCTCAACTATTAAAGTAAGCCACCTGTTCTGACACCCGCACCCTCTTTTTAGAGTATCAGTTTGGATCTCAACTCCTCTGCTTTCAACTCAGCTTACTATTAATGAACCTAGGAAGGCAACAGATGATGGCCCAAAGAACTTGGGTTCCTGGAACCCAGATGGAAAACACGGAAAGAGTTCTAGCTTCTGGCTTTGCTGGGGAGTGAGCCAAGGGATGGAAGATATCTCTCCCTTCCCTACTTCTTTCCCCTTCAATCTCCCCACTCATGGGTCACTGTGCCTTTCAAACAAATACATCTTTAAAAACAAAAATCCTAAAAAAAATCCTAAAGTTTATTTTGTGGAGTATTTGTTGCCAAATGCACAGAATATACAATTTCAAAGGTCAGGAATTTCAATACTAATGTGCTAAAGAAGTCTTCATGAGAAAGCAACAGAATAATTGAATGCTCTTAGGAATTCTTTAGAAGAGTTTCACAACAATTTATTATCAAATCCATAATATATCAAATAACTGTTAGTAAATTTACAGATCGATATATCAAATTTATATGATGAAACTACTGGTGTTGGCAAGTTAAGCAACCCAGCTCCATATCCTAAAACTAAACAGAAGCAAACATTTTATGCTGGTAGATTCTCATCAGCAACTCTAAGACACACTCATAAAACTGATTCTTTATAGGTGAATGTAGGTAACTGTCCAATGCTAGTAAGAGGAACATACAGTTTGAAATATGATGTTGTGTTACTTTGTTCTCTGCATCACACTAGAAAAGGAGCTTCACTGCGTCTTTGGAGAAGTGTTACATAGGGGTTGGCATTGTAGCACAGCTGCTAAGTCTACTGCCTGTGACACTAGCATCCCACATGCGTGTCAGTTTGTGCCCTGGCTGCTCCTCGCTAACAGCCTGGTAAAAACAACAGAAAATGGCCCAAGTGTTTGAGCCCCTAAAAGTTACATGGAGACTGGCTAAAGCTCCTGGTTCCTTGTTTTCGCTTGGCCAAGTCCTTGCTCTGGCAGCTGTCTGGGAAGTAAACCAGTAGTTGTAAGATTTCTCTATTGATTTTTCTCTATCTCTTTCCCTCCCTCTCCTTTCTCTGTAATTTTGACTTTCAAATAAACAAATGAGTCTTAAAAAAAAAAGTAAGTAAGTAAAGGCCTACACAGATGTTCCCAAACTCTCTCCCAGTTTTTCTTCGTGCTTCTGATAGTCCTCACTAATCTTTCTTCCCTTTGTCACCTTGCAGAAATAATCAAGTCTGAGGCTTCCAATTTTATGTAGGAACTTAGCATCTTTCAGAAGTATTAGCAGTTTTCTTTTCATCCTCTACTTTCTATTCTATTCTTACTCAGAATTTTAAAATCATATGCCATATCACACACTGTATATTTTCCCTCTTAACAGATGTCATTCCATTAGATGACAGAAATTCCATGTCTATTTTGCCTACTCTTTTCAATAGTTTACATAACCGTCAGAACTTCACAAATGGTCATTAAAGTTATAACTGCCTATTATTGCTTTTTCAGTGCCTACTAGGGAACTCTAAACTTCACTTCAAAGACTTTCTAAGACTGACAAGAAATCAATCTTTACATTTTGCATTTATATCTTATGATTCAAACAGAATTATATTTTTTCTAATACATGACTTTTCCTGCCTCTTTTCTTATGCTCAGTTGCTTATCTTCTGAAATCTCACCTCTTCCTACTCTAAGTCAAAACTATACCTCTGCATAAGGCTCAGCTTAGATAGCATTTCCTCAGTAAAGCCTGCTGTAACTTCAGCCAGCAACTGAGTTTCTCTCTGAAATCCTCTTACCACAGGCATTTTACAATCCTAATTATCTAAATACATGCCTTCTAGAAGAACAGAAGTGTTCTAAAAGCAAGCACCATATCTGATTTCTTGTATTCGCATTGCCCAGTTCAATATCTTACAAGAATTTATAATGTTGGTCAAATAAAATAGATATAAACTCATGAAATATTAGTAATACAAAAAAATTTAAAAAGCTACAATTGTACTGACATAATTAATTTAAAAATTACTTAATAAACATTTTTTTCTCTGCACAGTTTTTATTTATGATTTCAGAGAACCTTAAAAACACAATTTTTCAAATCATCAATTTCAACTTACCAAATTGTAAATTCCTAAAAGAAGTGCTTCAATGCAACCATTACTCTGTCGGTCTCGGCTAACTGTAAGCCGTAAATAAACCCACATCAACTCTGGCAGAAACTGCAATGTGAATCTCTTAAGTCGAACTTCAGAGCTGCGATACAGCTCAAAGAGTTGGTGGCAGACAGGCTCCAGGAGCTAAAAGGAAAATAAAGTGCATTAGTTATTTCTACTCTGTGGTTACAAGTTACACATGATGTCTCATAAATATTCTCGATACTTTTTTATATTAAGTTAATTCAACCAAAATCTTTAATATCAAAGGACAGAACTGGATCACATAATAAACTGACCAGTCCACTGTTCATTTATTTTTTTAAAGATTGATTCACTTCCATTGGAAATTCAGATATACAGAGAAGAAACACAGAGAGGAAGATACTCCATCCACCAACCTACCCTCCACCCAATGCCCAGAGCTGAGCAGATCCAAAACTAGGAGCCAGGAGCTCTTCCAGGTCTCCAACGCGGGTGCAGGGTCCCAAGGCTTTGGACCATCCTCGACTGCATTCCCAGGCCACAAGCAGGGAGCTGGATGGGAACCGGGACTGCTAGGATCAGAACCGGTGCCTACATGGGATCCTGGCACATGTAAGATGATAACCCCAACCACCAGGCTACTGCGCCGGGCCCCAATACATTAACTTTAAGAAGTATCTTGTGTCACATAACTTATCTTTCTAAAGCTCATTCTAGAATATTTACCATATACTTAATCCTTTTCCTTTCTCAGCCAAGGTACTATATTTATATTTGGTGAATTTTCCTTTCTGTTCTTATCAACTATTACTGTTAAAAATTTTCAATAGAATAAAATTAATTTCAAATAGTTTTTGTGGAAAAAAACTTTAAATGTCCAGTTAGACAATACACTGTAACAAACTATATACTACTAATAGAACAAGGGATTTTGCTGTACATACTGAAGCATCCAAATTCTGGGTAATCTTTTAAATATATTTGAATACATCAAGCTAATTACCTTTATTTTTTTAAAGATTTATTTATTTTTATTGGAAAGGCAGATATACAGAGAGAAGAGAGAGAGAGAAGAAGATCTTCCGTCCAAGGATTCATTCCCCAAGTGGCTGCAAGTGCTGGAACTGAGCCAATCCAAAGCCAAGAGCCAGGAGCATCTGCCAGGTCTTCCAAGCAGGTGCAGGGTCCCAAGGCTTTGGACCACCCTGGACTGTATTCCCAGGCCACAAGCAGGGAGCTGGATGGGATTAGATCCATATGGGATCCTAGTGCGTTCAAGGCAAGGACTTTAGCTGCTACACTATCGTGCCAGGCCCTACCTTTATGTTTTAAAATTGACTTAGATTTCACTATTTATATTTATTTGAAAGAATCTGAAGGGAAGAGAAGTATACAGAAATATCTTTTCCAATGTTTAAGTGGCTAATATTTCACTTATCACAGAATATGACTGATGAGGACCTTCATGATCTAGAAATTTGAAGAAAACGAGCAATTAAATTTTTCCACTTTTGCCTACATATGTATTGGAAAAATTACAAAGCTAGAACTGTAATGTGCAAAAAATTGACTATGATTTTTAATTTCATATGAAATATAAGAAATTATACATCATTTTCACTTTAATATGTAAAACTAACTCTTTAAACATGAATAATGGTTCAATAATTTCATATGCTTACCTCTATTCTGAATGAGCAAAATAACATATGCATTAGGAAATCTGAGTGAGGTCATACATGCCTTTAATATTGTAATACTTTAATATTTAATCATATTTCCCCAAATACAAAATTAAAATTAAAACTCAACAAATGTATGCAAATTGTAGAGTTCATAATATTTAGGTGGATTAAACTTAGTTGCTTAAGATCAAATCTAAAGCTTCAAAAATTTACACTCAGGGATGTACATTTGGCTTAGTAGCTGGGACATAAGCATCCCATATCAGAGTGTCCCTGGGTTCTAGCTCCTGGATCCAACTTCCTGTTACTGTAATTACTTATGTGCTAGTTCAGTCACTGCGTTCCTGCCATCCACGAGGGGCCTGGTTTGAGTTCCTAGTTCCCAAATTTGACCCACAGTTATTGCAGGTATTTGATAGTGAACCAGTGGATGAGAGCTATATCTCTGCTTTTCAAGATTAAAAACAAATTACATACATGTACACACTCCAGCAGATACTAAGCTATATATGTGAATGCTTTACATGATAACTATCAAATAATTTTTAAATATTTAAGCCAAATTTTGGGACCAGTGCCATGGTATAGTACACTAAGTCTCCACCTACAGATTTAGCATCCAATATGGATACTGCTTTGCATTCCAGCTGCTCCACTTAAAATCCAACTCCCTGCTAATGTGCCTAGCAAAAGTAACAGAAGATGGATGGTCCAAGTGCTAGAGCTGCTGCACCCACATGGAGAATCCTGTGGAAGCTCCTGGCTCCTGGCATCAGTCCAGCCCAGCTTTGGCCACAGAGTTCAGCTGGAAAGTGAATCAGCAGAAGGAAGAGTGAGCTCTTTTTGTAACCATGTCATTCAAATAAAAATTGAAAAACAATTTTTAGAAGACAACATTCCAAATATCCCTTCATACTGAAGCCTAAATTAGTCAATTTGCCAAAAGTTACAGAAGTTAGTGGTATAGGAAGACATTAAAATAAGGTCTCTGACAACAAACTGATATCTCCTTTCTAATACATTTATTAATGCAGTGTCAATTATGAACAAGTAATAAGCTTTCAAATATAGTAAATTCCTGGCATTTTTCTTAAATATTGACAGAAGCACTCAATTCTTTTGAGGAATTAAATATTGTCGGTCTTTAAATTTATTTATCACCATCGTTTCTCAGCCTTTCGGCTAAGATCAAGTGTAAATTTATTTATAAAAAATATATTTATGATTCAAATGGGCTTTTTTTTTTTAAACAAATTTTCCTTATTTTTATTTGAAAGACAGAGTTACAGAGAGAAAGAGATAGAGAGGCAAGAAATCTTCCATTTGATGGCTCATTCCACAAATGGCCACAATGGTTGGAACAGAGCTGAGTTGGTCCAAAACTAGGAACAAGGAGCCAGCACCGTCTTCCAAATCTCCCAAGTGGGTGTAGGATCCCAAGGCTTTGGGCCATCGTCTACTGCTTTCCCAGGCCACAAGTAGGCAGCTGGATGGAAAGTGAAGTAGCCATGGGCCCAGTATGATAGTGTAGCAGCTAAAGTCCTCGCCTTGAACGCAATGGGATCCCATATGGGCACCGGTTCTAATCCTGGCAGCTCCACTTCCCATCCAGCTCCCTGCTTGTGGCCTGGGAATGCAGGCGAGGATGGCCCAAAGCCTTGAGACCCTGCACCCATGTGGGAGACCCGGAAGAACTCCTGGCTTAGGCTTTAAATTGACTCAGTTCCAGACACTGCGGTCACTTGGGGAGTGAATCATTGGATAGAAGATCTTCCTCTCTGTCTCTCCTCCTCTTTGTATATCTACCTTTGCAATAAAAATAAATCTTAAAAAAGAAAGCAAAGTGAAGCAGCCAGGACATGAACTGGTGTCCATATGAGATGCTACGCTTGGAGGCAATAGGATTAGCCAGTTGAACCAATGTGTGTTCCTCATGGATGCTGTTTTGAGCTCCGGATTCCCCACTTTGAATTTAGTTCCTTGCTAACGCATCTTGGAAAACAGCATAGATGGCCCAAATTCTTGGGGCCCTGGATCCACAAGTGGACCCAGATGAATGCTCTTGGCTTCATCCTGGTCCAGCCCTGGCTGTGTGGGCCATTTGAGGAGTGAAGCAGCAGTCAGAACATGTCTCTCTTCCTATTTCTCCCTTTCTGTCTGTATCTCTGCTTTTCAAGTAAAAGAGTCCAGGTCTCCCACATGGATGCAGGGGACAAAGCATTTGGGTCATCTTCAGCTGCCTTCCCAGAGTATAAACAGGGAGCTGGATTGTTAGTAGAACAAATAGACACCCACATGGGATGCCAGTGTCATAGTACCATGCTTGGAAGCCTATACTATACCAGCCCCTCCTGTTTTTAAAATTAACATATATTTATTTCACTTGAAAATCAAAGTTACAAAGAGAAAGAGAGAGAAAAAGATCTTCCATCTGCTGGGTCATTCTTCAAATGGTCGCAACGGCCAGTTGAGCCATTCTTCCGGGTCTCAATGTGTGAGCAGGGTCCCAAGGATCTGATGATCCTCCGTTGCTTTCCCAGGCCATTGATACAGGGCTGGATCAGAAGTGGAGCAGCTAGGACTTGAACTGGTGCCCATATAGGATGTCAGCACATTAGGCAGAGGATTAGCTTGTTATATCACCATGCAGACCCCTCAAATTGACTCTTTAGTCAAAGAATCTCCAAAACTTCTTTAAAATTTATGATCATGTTGAAATTAAATTAAATTGCAATTAAAGTGAGTTTTTATTATAAAAAACCTCTTTTCCTCAGCAGTAATATGCATACTAGCATAAGACAAATTATTTTAATTAATCACAATGGCAATGTAGGTTTCAAATGATAATAATTTTTTTATAATACAACACAGCAGAACTGAAAGAGTCCTCCTAAGACTAAAGTCCAGGATCATTTTTGAGGTGGCTAGAGAAAATAGGATAGAGGGCAAAATCAAAAAGATAGCCTTTGATACCACTCAAGATGCTTTATCCACTAAGAAGCACAAAAGGCAACAGAATATGGGTTCACTGGTTGTACATAAACTAATAATTGAAATGTCAATGTAGAAGTCACAGGATGTGGATCAGAACTCACATTCTTTTTTTTTCTCTTTTAACATATTTTTGTCTTTTAACAATACTATGTCAACTAATTCCATAACGTTATAAATTGTTACTGATGTAATGTCAGGGCTTTTAATTGATTGGGATGTTACTCTGCCAGCTCTACCTTCAGACCAGAGATGGTCTCCCCAAGAAACCATTGAACTTATCTGAACAATAAGATGCTGGACTTTATACTTGGTAGATGCTTGCAATGAAAGAATCTCAACTGAATTTGAACTGTGGTAATGCAACAAGGTGGAGGAATCCACCATGGGAGGGGGAGTTTGTGAAGGGGTGGGGGGAATCCCAGTGCCTATAAAACGTTGTCACATAATGCAATGTAATCAATAAAAAAAAAAAAAAGAAATATGGGTTCAGATGATGGCAGGGTGGCAGATCTGAGACAGAATGGAATAAAGTCCCCAACTGCTTTTTTCTTCCTTCTTCATGATCAAAATAAATGAGCTGGAAATGAAGAGGAAGAAGGGTGGGTGTGCAATGAAACAGAATGTGGAAAAGAAACAGTAGGAGAGCACACCAAGGGAGTAAGACAGCAACGCCACATATAAGGTGCCTATTTGAAATGTGTAGCTCTTTAAAATTTTTTTCTTTTCTTTCTTTATATTTACTTATTTATAAGGCACAGTTACTGGGAAGGAAGGAGGGAGGGACAGAAGGAGGAAAAAGAGGTGGGGAAAGAAATAAGTTGCATGTATTGGTTCACTCCCTAAATGGGCAGCAGCCAGGCTGGGCCTTCATCGTGAATCCCATATGGATATAGGGCCACAAGCACTTGTTCCACCCTTCCTAGGCCAACATTAGGAGAAACTGGTTTGAAGATGGAGCAGCCAGGATTGTAAACCAGTGCTCATCTGGGATGAAGGTGCTGCACGTGGCAGCTTCAGCCACCAATTGACAACAAAGCCAGCCCAAATATGTAGTTCTAAATTTAAAGTGAAAAGAGCCAACAAAACTGTTTTCTGCAAGCATGTTCATTAGCTGTTCAGGTACAGGCATGAAATAAATGGATGTGTTTTACTCAGAATGAGAGGCAAAAGAGCTAAGAATGCAAAACAATGACTGTAAAGGGCTGGTGTGACACTGCAATGGCTAATCCTATACCTACAAGTGCCGGCATCCCACATGGATGCTGCCTCGTGTCCCAGCTGCCCCGCCTCCCATCCTGCTGCCTGCCTGTAGCCTGGGAAGGCAGTAGAAGGTCGCCCAAAGCTTTGGGAGCCTGTATCCAAAGAAGAGACCCAGAGAAAACTCCTGGCTCCTGGCTTCAAATTGGCTCAGCTCCGACCATTGTGGCCACTTGGGAAGTGAACCAGGAGATGGAAGATCTTTTTCTCTGTCTCTCCTTCTCTCTGTATGATCTGCCTTTCCAATAAAAGTAAACAAATCTAAAAAATAAAATAAAAAACAATAACTGTAAGGATGAACCACAATAACTTAGCTAGTCAAAGGGAGAAGTGAGACAATAAGCAAAGACTGACATTCAAATTATAAGCAGAAAAAAAATGTTAACAGATTCCAAGGTTTTTTTTGAAGTGAGAGAAACTCTAGACTATCTACATGTTCTAACAAAAGGGAAAAGAGAAACATGAAGTCATATTGTTGGTTTAAAGATGAAAACAGAAGATGCAACATAGGTCAGCCATTACTATTAATATTACTACATCAAAATTCCAGGAAATTTGTATTCCTATTTTATGATAAATAAAACATGCTAAACAAATTTATTTATTTATTTATGTTTCTTTCAGAACATGACAAAATCAAGACTAAAACGATATCCTATTACTGAAGTCTGGATTGTTTTGAGATAAAACAGAACTTAACATACTGTTATTCTGAAATCTGAACACACAGCTAAAACCTTCTGACTTACAGGACATAAAGATGGAAATTTAGACCTAATTAATAACTGATTGATTATAATGAATGCCAGATCTTAAGTCTGAGTCTCTTAAATTTATTTTTTTTATTTCTAGCCAGTATCCCACAGTCCTATACTATTATGAAGTAAGACAATATAAAAGTGAAGATAATCTTTTAATGCCATAGCTTTCAAAGTACTTTAAAAGTGGGGAGGACTAATGAAATGACAGCATTGTACAATATTTTTATATCTCACTATTTGACCGGCATTTATTACATGTTCATTATATATGTGATAAGTTACCAGATTGTAGGGAAATAATAAACATAGAATATAGGACCACTGCCCATTAAGAGCTTACAATCTAAAAAAAAGCATGAAGCAAGCCAAATTTTAATAAGCAAAGCTTAAATGTTAAGACAGCACAAAACAGGTAAGATATACACACATTTATTATTCAAACACAGAATTCTGAAAACTCCCGATGAAGAAGGATTTGTATATATGTACATTTCTCATCCAAAAATTACAAAACATACAGTATACACAGCAAGAGAAAAAGAAACTAATGAATCCTGCAGCTGCTGCTACACAAATAGCAGCAGGCGCAAGTTTAACTGGAAACCAATCCAAACTTAGGAGATAGGAAAGAAGTCAATAAGCAAGCTTTTAGTGATAGGACAAAAATGAAGATGCACTTTAAGTTAAGCTGCTGGTTAGGAGATGGTTACCTGAACTTCTTCAAACTCACTCCAGTACACAGCAGAGGCACTCTTGGAGGCTGTATCTGGGAAGATAAGAAGCTACTTTCCTGTGTGTTCCTTTCATTTTCATTTAAGCATTCATGATTCCAGTGCTGATAAAATTGCATGTTATACTATTGTGTTAATGGAAAGAAAATGTGTGCATGTGACATAAGGTAACATAGATTCATAGTTTCGTTTTTTTCTCCTATGACAAGGCTGAGTCATAGGAAATTCATAACCTAGGTTTACTTTCTTGACTCAAAATTATAATCCTTCTTCTGATTATTTTTCAGGCTAAATTTACTAGCAGTATCATTTTGTGTTATGAGATTGATTTTACTGATTAGAGTGATTATACACAGTTTTATATTATCAACAAAATAACAGTAAATAAAACTTAAAAGACAGCTGGCTCAATATTACAATTAAAATTTGGCTTCCAGAACAGGAAACATTTTAAAACAGAAAATAGACAAATTCTACTAAAATACATTGAGATGGTGGTCACTCAAATCAAGAATTAAAACACTGCTGTCAGGGGAAATTGACCAAAACATTTTCAAATACAGAAAAGAAGGAAATGGGGAAAGCCAAAGCACCATCAGAAAAAAAAAACAGCAGAAAGAAAATCGTCCAGTTTCATAACGAAAGAAAACTACAAACTAATTTACATGTTGCATTTTAATACACATATTTCATTTTACTATGAGAAACTTTGTCTTCTTACATACTCTCCTACCTCATTATTTGAATCCTGAATAACTTTATAGAGGGCTGGTACAAGTGTTTTTTTCCGATGTAAGGTTGCTGCATAACTTGTGATCTGAGTGTCAGGTAATGCCTAAAATAAGACAGCATCAAAGGAAAAAGTGAATTTCATATCTGAAAATTTTGGGCCTTTATTTTATAAAAGTGTCTTTTAAAAAAAATTTAATAGAACCAAGTGAGAAAAGTTAAAAACAATATAACCGGGGGGAATCTCCAGTGCCTATAAAACTGTATCACATAATACAATGTTAATAACAATAAAAAAATAAATTAAACAAAAAACAATATAACCATTACCAGAGTAAATAAAACAAGTTAAATTATTGTGATGCCACATTATTTAAGTCTTCTAAATATTGAATCATGAAAATGGTAAGAAGTCACACTATGTACTTAGATTCACTTAAGTTAGCCACCTTAACCTACTTTATTTAATCTAAAAGCAATACAGCCTGTAGTTCAGCCCTTGCAGCTATAGTTTTGTTCACCTATTTCCACAATTTTTCACAAATTACAGTTTGAATGAAAATCTGACTTTTAATTATAGGGAGGAAAATGGTAAAGCACAAACCTAATTTTTGTGCTTTATGAAAAAAGTGAAGTTCCCCACTTTTATTGAATATTATTATAAAATCTAAATATTCACTCAACAATCCTAACAATTCCTTGCTTTCACACATTACCTTTTAACCCTTATTCACTTTAGTGCCTTTAAAAAGAAAAAAATTGCCATTCTAGGGGTCATCGTTGTGGCATAGTACGTTAAGCCACACTCCCTCTAATGCCTGCATCCCATATGACAACTAGTTTACGTCCGGCTGCTTTCCTGTTGACTTACCTGGGAAAGCAGGGGAGGAGAATACAAGCAACTGAGCCCCTGTCCCCACGCAGGAGGATGAAATTCCCGGATTCAGCCCAAGTTTTGGCAATTTGAAGGGTGAATCCCAACAGATGGAAGATCTCTTTTTCTATAAATTTTCCTTTAAAATGAGATAAACTAGACCATTTTAAAACATTTTTTAAAAACACATAATTTTTTGTAAGATTTTTTTTTTTAATTTCCATTGCAAAGTCATATATACAGAGAGGAGGAGAGACAGGAGGAAAGATCTTCCATCTGATGATTCACTCCCCAAGGGGCCTCAATAATCGGAGCTGAGCCAATCCAAAGCCAGGAGCCTCTTCTGGGTCTCCCACATAGGTGCAGGGTCCCAAGTCCTTGTGCCGTTGACTGCCTTCCCAGGCCACAAGCAGAGAGCTGGATGGGAAGTGGGGTCGCTGGGATTAGAACTGACACCCATATGGGATCCCAACACATGCAAGGCAAGGACTTTAGCTACTAGGCTACTGTGGAGGCCCGAAACACATAATTTCATACTGTGACATTTCTATTTCATATCATATTTGTTTCTCCATAGAACACATACTTTCTACTTGAATTATTAACATACAGAATTATATAATATAATCTTATTCCCAATCCAACTTACCTTGAATTCTGATAGCCATTCTTCCACAACACCACGGTCAGAACCCAGCATCTTCTTTTATGGTCTAATCCTTATTTGCCTCTAAAAGAAAAATACACTGAATCTAAGAATGGTCATTACTAACAGAAGCAGGTAAATTATGTGTTCCTTTCACTTAAAACATTCATTTACTACACACATTTGGATAATAAATCTTAATTTTAGTGTTGAGTGCAATTACAACAATTTTTTTTTTTAGATTTATTTATTTTTATTGGAAAGGTAGATCAGATTTACATAGAAAAGGAAAGACAAAGAGAAAGATCTTCCATCCACTGGTTCACTCCCCAAATGGAATGGCCACAATGGCTGGAGCTGAAACGGAAGTTTCCTCCAGGTCTCTCACACGGGTACAGAATCCCAAGTCTTTGGACCATTCTCTACTGCTTTCCTAGGCCTTAAGCTGGGAGCTGGATGGAAAGTGGAACTTCCAGGACTTTAACCAGTGCACATATAGGATCCTGGTGCTTGCAAGCTAAGGATTTAGCCGTTGAGCCATAGCACCAGGACTAAAACAGCATTTTTTCACTTCAAACCTATCGTCCTAATGCTTTCCTATTTTCTCCAGCAACTATACTTTAAAGTGGCAAACATAAGTGCCCTGAGTGAAATCAAACTATGGGTACATTATTCAGGACAAATTCAAAGTATCTGCTGGAAGCTCTTATGAAATATGTAACCAGAAAGCTATACATCATAAAACACATCACTATCATAGAGAAAATATGACCAATTATAAATGGCAAACTGGATAAGAAGGAAGGGTTGTATATTCAGACTGGATATAAGCAATGTGTAATATAAAAAAGCCTTTGAAGATAGTATTACATATTTTCAAGAAATGGAGAAAATGCAATTAGAAGACATAAGTCATACACACTGCATAAAGTGTAATTTCATATTAAAAATCATATGAAGAAGAAAAAAAATTCTGCCCCAACTGGGTCTGGTTAAAGCCAAATTTGTGTTAACTATACCAATATGCCAGCAACATGGTTGCTTATTCTTCTTTTTTTTTTTTTTTTTTAAAGCAGGTAAGGTGGGAAACTGTGGACCTGGTTGTGCCACACAGGCCCCCTGGTGACGGGTGGCAGATTTGCCTTGGAAGGAGTCTGGGGACATGGAATGGCATGGCAGCTAAGGGCATGTTTGACAGAGAAGGAATGATTTTCCAGAGTCTTCCATGGACCAGCCCACTGCACTCGCAGGTAGGCAAGGGAGACAGAGTGATTTAGAGGGGGGAACCAGAGGGCACATCTGGGTCAGGCCAAGGCACCCGCCCAACTGGGAGACCTAGGCTGGACTAAACAGCATTGCCTGCTGCCCAGTGACACAAAAGCTGGGACTTGTGGTGTATGCCTGCTTAGACTAGGCCCCTTTAGCCAACTATGAGTGTCACAGCAGGTTATGGACTACAATCAGGCTGGACCACAGCACCCACAAGAACACAAGAGAACCAGATCTGGGGTTAGATTCTGTAGGGAAATTGTCAGTCTGACTCTGTGGGACTGCAGCATCTGCCAGTTTATGTGGAGAGGTGGTAATGGGCTGAGCCCAGGTGGACCACAGAATTCATCTGACAGGAACCCACCTGATACTCATGGGGAAGAGAGCTGGGGCTTGGAGAAGGCCAGGTGGGGCAAGACTGCAGCACCCACTTGTGTATGCAAGGGCTGGGACCAAAGGGCCACTGCCACCACAGGCATGCATGAGCTGGGGCTGGGGCAGGCCTGGTAGTGGAACTTAGGGAACTTTCTTACCAGTCCACAGCTCCCACTGGGAGCACAGGAGCCAGGACTTGGGGACGGGATAGGCAAGTCTGCAGCACTCACCCTCCTTTGTGAGGGCCAAGTCTTGGAACAGGTTGGACTGCACCAGGCCTTAGCACCCATTGACAGACAAGAGAGCCAAGACAGTATGTGGGCCATACCCAACAGGAAAATCTGAGAGTGCCAGTGGGTCTTGCCAGGCTGGGTCAAAGCATTCACCAACACCTGCAAAACCCAGGGCTGAGATTGGGCCTGATAGGGGAACTCTGGGGACTCCCCTGCTGAGCTGCAGCTCCCACTGGTAAATGTGAGAGCCAGAGCTGTGGCAAAACCAGGTTTTGATATACAGTCTGGATTCGATACCCAGTCTGGTCTCCAATTCCCACCTCCTGTTAATGTAGAACCTAAGAAGCAGTGGTGATGGCTGAAATAACTGGGTTCCTGTCATTAACAAGAGACTTGGCTACAGCTGCTGGCTCCTGGCTTTGGTATATCCCTGTCCTCATCACTGTGGGTCTTTGGGGAATGAACCAGAAAATGGGAGCTTATCCTCTCTCTCAAATAAACAATTTTTTAAATAGACCAATGACTTCTTCAAATAAATTGCAATATAGAAAGCAAGGTAACTCTCAAAATATAACTTATAAATACATATATTTGTGCATATATGTAAATACATATATACATACACACACACATTGAAATGTGATTCTAATTTGAGTCAAACATTAAAAAAAGTATGATAAAGCTAGATGTTGACCACAATTGATTATTTGATGACATTAAGACATATCTTAGTTTACCCACACATTTGGTAATGGTGCTTGGTCAGCTTTTTAAAAATAGTCTTTATCTCCTAGAGATAAACACTAAAATACTAGTAAAATGATTTGGGTTTGCTTTGAAATAATTGGAGGGGAACAGTACAGTGGATATAAATGAAATATAACTGCAGCCATGAATTAATAATCACTGAAGTTCACTAATGGATATGCAAGTTTCATTATACTATAACTCTGTTACAGCTTGAAATGTTTCACAGTGAACAGCAAACACATTTTTAAAAAGGTTTGATGAGTTAGCATTACATACTAGTTCTGATGAAAACAATATCAATCAATATTCCCTCACCTTTCATTGTGAAGGGGCTAAGTGGAAAGTCACAGAACCCTTTGAGATTAGAGCAAACTTATGGATCCCTACTTTAGAAAATGATGATTTTGAAATCTACATGTACACAGTTCTTTAATCCACTTCAAGGAGTTCATAAATTCACATGATCCACTAACAGATGTGGACTCTTAAACAATTTTCATTTACAGGATCTGATGTTGGTATAAAAAAAGCTGGTCAGCTGCTCAGACTATAGAAATGATCCCTGAAAGTATAGTCTTGGGCAGCTGCTCAAGACACTGACATTCCACACTGGAGAGGCTGCATTTGAGTCCTTCCTCTGTGCTCCATTCCAACTTTTTTTTTCCCCTCAAGATTTATTCATTTCAAAGGCAGAATTAGGAGCTGTCATTGTGCCACAATTGGTAAAGTCAAGGTTGGTCACATATGATCACACATATGATCAGCCAGTTTGAGTCCCAGCTGCTCTACTTCCCATCCAGCTTCCTGCAAATGCACCTGGAAAAGCAGTGGAGGACAGCCCAAGCGCTTGGGACATTGACACCCACATGGGAGACCCAGATGGAGTTCCAAGTTACTGACTTCTTGGCTCAGTCTTAGCTATAGCAATGTTTTGGAAATTTCCATCTCTGTCTCTCCCTTTTTCTCTATCACTCTGCCATTCGAATAAACAAATCTTTCCAGGCACATTAGCAGGGAGCTGAGCCAGATGTGGAGCAATCAGGATTCAATCAGTGCACAAATGGGAGCAGGTGTTTCAGGCAATGATTTAACCTACTGTGTCACTGAGCCAGCCCTAATCAAATTAACTTAATAATTCAATAAAGCTTAGGTAACACAGTTTTACAAAACACAACTACTTTGAAAAGGGAAATGGGTTCAACAATAAAATTCAAAGGCAATATTTAAGATTCGACCATTTAGGTTAATTTTTTTTTAAATTTTAACAAATGGGGGAAGTAAAACATAAAAATGCTAATGCATTTAATTATATGAGAAACTGACTATCTATTAAAAAGTTAGACTTAGTCTTACCTGTTTTAAAGGTCAATTTTCTAGAGGAGGAGGTGGCACAGGAATGAGGCAGGGTTCAAGTGTGGAATTCATTTGTTGATAGCTAAATACTTTCCAGCTCTATAAAAAACAAAAATGAAAAACTGCACAATATTGAAATAGTATTCTCAAGAAGGTAATATTAAAAATAAACAGTTTAAATAAGATATTTATAATACAACTTACATGTTTTTAAAAATAATTATGGAACAAAAATTTTCCAAGAGCAATACACATCTTTATTAAATCTAATCAAAAATAGTTTAGAGCCAAAAAAATCTGAACTTTATTTCAAATTTGTCATTAAGTTACTGAAATATCTTTGGATTATTTATTTAAATTTTTTAGAGAATCACTTGAATAATTTATAAAACGTAGTCTCTGATAAACAAAAATCATGAATAACCTTTGAAACAATTTACAATGATCTCTCTCTCACACAAACACATTATCATTTTTTTTAAAAAACGCTTCACTAGGGCCCGGCGCGGTGGCGCAAGTGGTTAAAGGTCCTCGCCTTGCACGCCCGGGATCCCATATGGGCGCCGGTTCTAATCCCGGCAGCCCCGCTTCCCTTCCAGCTCTCTGCCTGTGGCCTGGGAAAGCAGTCGAGGACGGCCCAAAGCTTTGGGAACCTGCACCCGTGTGGGAGACCCGGAAGAGGCTCCTGGCTTCGGATCGGCATAGTATCGGCCCGTTGCACTCACTTGGGGAGTGAATCATCGGACGGAAGATCTTCCTCTCTGTCTCTCCTCTCTGTGTATCTGCCTTTCCAATAAACAAAATAATAAAAAAAAAAACAAAAAACAAAAAAAAACGCTTCACTAAAATTTCAATGTGCAGGGTAAGAATCAAGTTGAAATAAGTATCAAAGGCTATATATTATTTTCAACAAATTCAAATGACAGAAATTTTATTATTTAAAAAAATCCTATGACTTAAAACTTCTTTGACTGCAGAGAGAATGAGATTTCCCAATCACTGATTCATACTCCCCCAAAACCTGCAACATCTGGGACTGGACCATGCTAAAGGCAGAAGCCAGGAATTCAATTTGGGACTGCTGCATGGGCAGTAGGAACCCAAGTACTTCAACTATCACCTACTGCTCCCAGAATGCCTAAACATCAGCAGAAAGCTGGAATGCAAAGCTGGAACTCTACACCAGGCACTCTGATACAAGATGCAGTCATCCCAAGCAGCAACTTAACTGCTGTACCAAATACCAAACACAAAAACATAATAAGTATTCTGGTCAGAAAATCTCTTTCAAATAGCTAAAACTAGAGACTTTGCTGACCACATTTTGTTCTATTTCTTTGCTTCAAAGTTGTATCATTTTTTAAAAAGTCTGTAACACCAAAATGAACACTAGTGAAAATGTTCGTTAACAAATAAATTACATTACCATTGTAAAGCTTCCAATATTTTTTTAAACTGGAGATAACGTCAGTCCTCCCTACTCTAGCCATAGCAGCTGACTTCTTATCTCCTATGTGTTGTTTTAAAGTTTATTTATCTGAGAGGTAGAGATGAAGAGAAATCAGATTGCTGAAATTCATCGGTTCAGCCCCCAAGTGGCTACAAGGTCACATGTGGGACAGGCCAAAGCCAGGAGTAAGAACTCCATCTGGGTCTCCCACACAGGTGGCAGCCAGCATCACTACTTCCCCAGATACATTAGCAGAGGGCTGGAACAGAAGTGGAGTAACCAGGACTCAAACCACTGCCCACACAGGATACTGGCCATCACAGGTGACAGCATAATCCACTGTACCACTAATCTAGCCCTAACTTTTTATTTCTTACATGTTAACATTTCCCATGATATTTTTATTTAAAGGACTAACAATGCACCTCTGGAACAATAAAGACAGGTAACATTTTGGAAACAGGCACTTGAGGTTAAACAAGCAAATAAATAAGCAAACAGAAAAAAATTGGGTGGAGAAAACTGACCATCCTGCTGAAACAAGAAGGGAACACCAGATATTTTTAAGTAAAGAAGATATATAGACTAAAGAGCCTTGGTCCAGAAATGGGTCTTCCACAATTTTTTAGGGTTAAGGAGATGGATACTCACTGGGATCTCAATTAATACACATAAAAATAAAGTAAATAACAGGGAAACTAAGTTTCATTAAACTTTTACAACACTAAAGCAACTCAATTCCTGAGTTATAGGAAATAATCAGTTCTTTACATATTTGTGTAACAGATAAAAACAAAAGTTCTGTCAAGAGTACAGCACTGTCTGGAGTCCCTCCCTAGAGGACTTTTCATTTATAAAGTCTGGTACACAATAAAAAATTAAGCAGATTTTCTTAAGGGTTAAGAAAATATGACTAATTACTAAGAGAAAATTAGACAAAGGAATTGAAACCACAGATGATCCGGTTATAAGTTAACATACAAAGGAAATTATTTAAAACATTAGTTAACATGTTAAAGAAAACAGAGTGAAGGGTCCAGAGCAATAGCATACTGGTTAAAATCCTCGCCTAGCACGTGCTGGGATCCCATATGGGCGCCAGTTCTAATCCCAGCAGCTCCACTTCCCATCCAGCTCCCGGCTTGTGGCCTGGGAAAGCAGTCCAGGACGGCCCAAAGTCTTGGGACCCTGCACCCACGTGGGAGACCCGGAAGAGCTCCTGGCTCCTGGCATTGCATCGGTGCAGCTCCAGCCGTTGAGGTCACTTGGGGAGTGAACCATCGGACAGGAGATCTTTCTCTCTGTCTCTCCTCCTCGGTATATATCTGCCTTTTCAATAAAGACAAATACATCTTTAAAAAACAAAAAAGTAAGAAAACAGAGTGAGAGTGAAAACTGATGAAAAAAGACTATTTCACTAATGAATTAGGATCAGAGAAAATAATTTGTTTATTTTTTCATTTTTATTTTTCTGAAAGAAGGTCAAGGTAGAGAAATTTCATCCATTGGTTTTCCATCCAAATGTCCACAACATCTGGGGCTGGCCAGGTCAAAGTCAAGAGTCAGAACTCCATCTGAGTCTTCTACAATCAAGGTGAAGACTCAACTACCTAGGCGATCATCTACTACTTCCCAAGAGGTATTACTAGCAAGAAGTTGGAAGGGAGGCACAAGTAGGACCTGATCCCTAGCACTCTGATATGGGATGGGAGCACCCAAAATGGTGACGGCTTAAGCTGCTGTGCCATAACACCTACCCCTGTTTGAAACTAGGCACTTTAGAAATGGCAAAACAATATATGAAACAACATAAAACCCTGAAACATTGGTTTTACAACAGAATTGAAATAGAACAATATAAAATTGGTGTAATCAAAAATATTCAAACAGAAGCATAAGAGAAAAAGAAAGCCAAAGAAATAAGAAAGAGAACGAGCAGGTGGGGGGAAGATAACGGATGGGGCTAAGAGAAATGTGGCAAATGTTCAAAATATCTAATATGCACGTAATAATCTCAGGTCAGATGAGAGACTTAAAAAAAAAAAGATCAAAAAAGAATAGCTGAGAGTTTTTCCCAAAACTGATGGAAGAAATCAATCCAGAGATTCAATATGTTTTGCCAGCTCCAAGTACATTAAAAGAAAACCATACTTAAGAAAGTCACCATCAAAACAGAGACAAAGAGGGAAGGAAAAAAATCATAAAGTAGTCATGGGAAGAGGGAAATGCTAACCTCAAGAAAATCGCATAGATTTCTCTAATAGAAGCTAAAATACAACAGAATGATACTGTTAAATGCCAAAAAGAAAATAACTGGTAGGTTACAAGACCATACCCAACAAAATATGCTTCAAAACTTAAGGTGAGTGTCCTCAGAACATGCTCCACATCAGGGACCCTGAGATGACAGTGGGTAGCTGTCCTCCAGCCCTGCATGCTGATGAAGTTGGGCTGCTGGGAGCGGCCCTATCGCCATCTCTTCCCACTTTCCCCAGATACAGGAAGAAAAAAAGGAGACTGGAAACATGTGTCTCATGGCTTTCCTCCATTCTTCGATCTTCCCTACCCTAATCAGTGGTCCACATGGGCGTACATCCTTCTTAACCACAGAAATATCATTAAAAATAAATTTGTTATATAAAAACAAGAAGGTGAAATAAAAATGCTTGCAAACAAACAACAACAAAGCAAACAAAACAGTGAGGAAAGTTCACATCAGCACTAAAAGAAAACTAAAGAGAGTTATTCAGGCAAATGGAAATCATCCTAGATTATACACACAGACACACATACAAAACAAACAGGAAGGAACAGTGTCAGACAGAATAATTACACAAGGAACTTAATGGTGATTGTTCAAAACAATAGCTGAAATATCCGGTACCATAAAAGGTACTAAAATTTTAGTGATCATGTAAAATATTTTGTATTATACTGTAAGTATAAATGTTATAACTTTTAGGACAACCATTAAAACCAAATATGCAAGTTACAGAAAATGTAACATTTAATCTGAATACAGACATGGAAGCAGAAAAAACAAACAAACAAAAACCAGATGAACCAAATAGCAAACAACAGTATTCGTATAAACTCAACCAAAACAGTAATTAAACTCTATAGATGAAAGACTAAGCTTGCCAGATTGAATTAAGCTAAAAGAAGCATATTTCTTAAAAAGAACACCTTAAATATATTCACAGAAAGACTAAAAAAAAGCATGAAGAAAACACACATGCAACATTAACTAAAAGAAAATCTGTTACTTTCAAAGAGGAATTAATTTAAGGTAAGAATTATCACAAATAAAAGGCCTGTTACGTAACAGTAAAAGGGAAACTGGTAACCCTAAAAATGCATGAAAATAATTAGATTTAAGGGAGAAACAGACAAAACCATAATCACAATTGGAGACCTAACATCTCAGTGGCTGACACAATCAAAACTGGCTAAGATCTGAACAATGAGACCTAAAACAAAAACAAAAACAAAAACAGAATATTGCACCTAGGAGTGAAAAATTCTCATTCTTCTTAAGATTGTGTGAACATTAATCAAAACCAAACACATACTGGGTCATAAGGAAATACCCAACATATTTTTTAAAAAAACTATATTCTCCAACCACAATCAAGGCTAGAAGTTACTGACAACAACAATGCTAATAAATAACAACTTAGAAAAACACAACAACCTGAAAATTTTAAAATTACATTTCCAAATAGTCTGTGGATCAAATGAAAAATAAAAATAGAAGAAAGAAGATAATGTTGAACCGAGTGCTACTACAGCATATCAAAACTTGCGAGTTACAGCCAAAGACTGAATTGCAAATGCAGGCAGTCCCTGCATCTCAGTAAGCAGTCAGAGCAGCAAACAAATGAAACAGAAAAGATGCAGAAAGTCAAGAAAAATCACCAAAGCTGGACACTGGTTCTTTGAATAGATGAAACTAACAACACCCTAATACTTATCAGGAAAAGCAAACACAAATTTTTCCAGAATTTTTAGACATCAAAGGTAATGTAAGCCTTATGCCAATACATGTGACAGCATGAAATCAACACATTTCTTAAAAAACCCAAATCATAATCCTGAAAAAAATATCTGATACCCATAAAAAATGTATAAAACACTATTCCATTAAAGCTGTTTCTTTGAAGAAAATCTCCAGTGCCCATACTGCTGAATTCCTCTAAACAATTAAGAAAGAAATAATAAACTTGCATAGTCTTCCAGAGGGGCACAGCTTATATCCTGGCTGCTCCACATACCATTCAGCTACCTGTTAGGACCTGGGAAAGCAGTGGAGGATGGCCCAAAGCCTTGGCTACTGGCTTTGGATCAGCCCAACTCTGGCCACTGAGGTCACTTGCAGAATGAACCAGTGGACAGAAGATCTTGCTCTCTGTATTTCCTTCTTTCTGTAAATCTGCCTTTCCAATGAAAATAAATCTTATAAAAAAAAGGTTTTCCAGACCATAAAATAATAGAAGATTTTTTTAATTCTTTTAATTAATTCTTTTAATTCTTCTTAATTACAAGTACAACCATGACTGACATGGCTTTTAAAAAGAAGGAAAATCACAGACTAACCACTCTCCAGAATACTGATGCAAAAGAAATTAATCTATTAGTATGTAAAATGTACCACTATATATCAAAATATATAAAACATTTATTCCAGACACACTACAAATAGGTACAGAAAAAGCATGTGCCCAATTTCAATGTTCATTCATATATCCTTTTGGGAAATTCACAGACAATAGTTTAGAGCAAACATTACAGTCAATATTAAAGTATTGAAAACTTACCCTCTGAGGTTTAGAACAAGACAGAGATGACCATCATCGGCACTTCTATTCAACATTGTACTGCAGGGCCTAGCTGGTAAAGTAAGGCAAGAAAAACCAGAAGAATAAGGACAGGGAAGAAAGAAATGTCATTATTCAGAGATATGATTATTTACCAACAAAGCCGAAAAGATTTTGCCCACTAATTAGGATTAACTAGAGACTTTGTCTAGATTTCTGGACAATAGATTAGCATACAAAAATCAATTATGCTTCTGGCAACTTAACCAAATTTTAAAAAAACACAATTTCAAAAAAACACAAACACAACAGCATTTTAAAATGCAAAAAATAATATCTAACACAACATGTGTAAGACCTCTACATAATTAGAAAACAATTTTTGAGAGAAATTAAGGAAGATCTAAATGCATTACGCCTCACTTAATGATGCAGATTCTTGAGAAATGTGTGTAAGGTGATCTCACACTGTGAAACATCACAGAGTGTACTTACACAAACCTAATTTGGTACAGTTCAGTCACTTGACATGGTCTCTTGCTGCAGTCAAGAGATGCAGCAAATGTGGGCTGTATAAGCATGGGGCTTCTGGCAGAGTTATTAACAAGGCATTCTATTTCACAGCACATTTTTTAAATAAGTAGGAGTGCATTCTAAATTACAAAAACAGTGTAGTATACAGTATAGTAATACATAAACCAGTTATCATCAAACATTATGTATTCTACATAATTTAGTATTACTATAATTTTTATGAATGGCAGCACAGTGGGGTTGTTCATACAACCATGAAACTTGCACTAAAAGGACATTATAATGGAGAGTACTACATCACTATGAAATTAAAATTGTTCTACTCCATTATAATCATAAGAGAATTGCTATTGTATATGTAGTATATAATTGATCAGAATGCCATTATGTGGCACATAAAGAGAACTAAGGATATACAATAAGATACATTGTAAAAACGGCAATTCTTTCCCAATTAATTGGTAGTGTCAAAGTATTCCTAATAACATTTTCACTGTACTTTTAAAGAGAAATTGACAAGCTGATTCTAAAATTCCTACAAAAATGCAGTCAATATCAACTAAGGAAACTGTGAAACAATAAAAATTGGAACATTTATACTCTTAAGACATTAAGACCTGTTATAATGCTATAATAAAGATGTATAAATATAGTAATTAAAACCTACCAATGAAACAGTTAAGTCATTTACAAATAAGACTACTTCATGACATGCAAAATTGCACTAAATTGAATAAAGATAGTGTTTTCAATAAAAGATGCTGAATCAATTGAACAATATTACAGAGAATAAGGTATGATGATCCCAACCTACAAAATTTACAAATGTAAATTCCATGATGGGAGCAGCCTGGATCAGGCCAGGGAACAGTACTCACTGGCATACAGTTGGCCCAGGTTGGGGGTGAACAGGTTGGACCAGTTCATATTACCCATTGGCGAATCTGAGCACCAGAATGGAGTGTGGGTTGGGCTGGGTTGGGTCACAACAAAAGCTAGTTCACCTGAGGGTCAGGACTTGGGGCCAGCTGGGCTGGGCTGGGCTGTAACCCCAACTAGCATGAGCTGGAATTGGGCAGAGGAGATGGGCCCAGCCAGGCAATAGCACCCACTGGCAAATGCTGAGGTAAGATGGACAATGCCAGACTGGGCTGCATGCAGCACCTAACCAGCACAGGTGAGACCAAGGCAGGGAGGGGGCAAAGTCGGTAGAAGGGTGGCCTGGGGCTCCCCTATTGGACCACCACTCCCACTGGAGAGCATAAGTTGGGATGGGAGCAGACCAGGCTGGACAGGGCTACAACACCTGTTGGCCTCATGCGGGCTGGATTAGGGGCAAGCCAGGCTAGGCTGGCTGTTCCTGCTGGTGCATGCATAAGTCACAGTGAACATGGGTTGAAGGGGCCTTGCCACAGCATCTGCTGGTAGATGTGGGCACAGGGAGCAAATTCTGTCAAGCCAAACTGCAGAAACACCTGGAGAGTGCAAGATCCAGGAGTGGGAGTGGGCCCAATAGGGAAATAGTGGGCACTTCCCTGTTGGGTTGGCACTCTGTGTGGTGAGCATGAGAACCAGGAATGGGGCAGGCATGACTAGACAGAGTGGCATCTGCCAGCAGGTGTGTGGGCTGGACAGTGGGGCTGTTTGGGTTGAACTAGGCTTCAATGCCCATTGATATGTAAGAGAGCTGAATGGGATGTGGGACAGACTTGGACCAATCTACTGTACATATTGGCAAGCATGGGAACCAGGACAGGGAGGGCCTGGTGGAGATTATTGCGAGTCGCTCCAATTAGGCTGCAGCTCTCCCTAGTGTACATGAAGGCTGAGTGTGTGCTGGGCAGGATCGGGCTGGGCTGCAACACCCATTGGGCAAGACAGAACTGACCCAACAATTACAACCACCAGCATATGCTTAGCTGATTGGGGTGACGGTCTGAGCCAGACCCTGTACTGGCAAGCGCACACAAGAACCAGATCTAGGATCACCTCAGATGCAGTTTCTATGGGGATCCCCCCAACTGAATTGCTGGACTCAGAACCCTAACGATGGAGAGAATTGGTGGATGTGTCAGAGTTGGGCTCCTTAGTGGCTTAGACAGAGCAGTGGACAGTATACACAGGTGCACATGGAGGACATGGCAGTACATTGGAGTCGGTAGAGGACACCTGTACCACAACAGAGGATGGAGGACAGGACAAATTGATCAACTACCCCAGTCAAGTGTTGGCAGTGAATAACTAGGCTAAACAGCTGGCTGGGCTAAGCTGCAGCACCCTACTGACAAATGCCAGAACTGGGCGCAAGTCGTGTGAGGCTAGAGTGCAGTATCCCCCTGGCAGGTACAAGATCTGGGGCTGAGAGTAACTGTGAGTACTTCTCTGCTAGGCTGCAGCACCCATGGGAGTACACGAGAGCCAGATTGGATGCGGGAAAGATCAGGCTAGGCTGCAGCACATACCAGCACATGTAAAAATCAAGGCCAGGGGCAGGCCTATTGAGGGTATTGGGGGTCACCCTGATCAGGATACAGCACCCACTGGTGTGGGTGAAGACCCTACCTGTGGCAAGCTGAGCCAGGTCACAACATCTGTCATACCCATGGGGTGGGGACAGAACTAGCCAGGCAGCTGCACGCCCTGGTATGTGCATTGGCTGGTGCAGGTGATGAACCATGCCTGTCCCTACACTGACTATTACACTCTAAAGTCAAGTCTAAGGTCACCCCAGTCAAGGTTTCTTGGGGAATCTCCAACAAGGCGGTTGGACTCAAACCTTGCCCATAGGGATAACCGCAATATTGGTGGTTCAACCTTGGGAGTACACAATCAAGACTGGGCCTCCTAATTTCTGATGCCTGTGCAGTGGACTGTATGCCCAGATGCTCATGGGGGACATGATGGCCAGTTCATCTATGCCAGCAGGGGATGTCCAATGGCTCATCAGATGGAAAGCAGAACAGGTTGGACTACTCTCCGGCCAAGCTGTGTAGCATGTTCCTAGGTCTATGGATGTACTTAGGTTGGACTCTGTCAACCAATAGACCTTGGAAAGATTGTCTCAATACTGGTGCAATGAAACCAACAATTTCTCAGCAAATTTCCAGGCAAATGGAGACTCTAAGGTGGACTATGTCATTCAATGGACTTTGGAAGGATTTCTTCATCCTTGGAGAGGCCATATCAACAGTACCTCAGAACTATCAAAACCACTTGAGAACCCACAGAACATGCTCCACAGCAGTGACCCTGGGATGACATCTGGTGGTTGATCCCTATTCCTGGGTACTGAGGTGGTTGGGAAGCTGGACATGGCCTCTCCATTGTATCCCTGCCTACCCCAGATACAGGAAGAAGAAAAAGTGTAAACAATGGTCTTGCCCACTTTGCCCTAATCCTCAACCCTTCCCACCCTGATCAACTGTGTAAACATCATCAAAAATAAATTTAAAAAGAAAAGAGAAAATTTACCTACAATGGGAAAAAATGAGAACAGGAACAATAATGAAGGAAAAAAAGCAATCAATAAACACTGACCCCAAATTAACAAAGATGCCAGAATTAGCAAAGACATTGAAAATAATTATAACATATAAACATGAAGTAATCATAGAAGGTGCCTTGGTCAAGTCCCAGTTCTGCTTCTGATACAGCTTCCAGCTGCTGTGCACCCTGGGAGGGAGGGGTGATGGCCCAGATATTTGTTGCCCACACAGGAAGCTCGTGACCTCAGTCTGAGGTAGTCCCAGCTAATGGGATATTTCAGGAGTCACCCTTTTGGTAAATCTCTGTTTACCTCTCTGTTCAAACAAAATTAAAATAACACTTTAAAAAAAATCGCTAATTCCAGTGCAATTGCAGAAGATGTGGTTAATTACTTCAGTAACAACTTGCAGGCAGAGCCTCAAGAATATCCATAAGGGAAAAAGGGGGAAAGACAATAATCATCATTAAAATTAAGTGGAGAATTTTTTAAACTACTGACATCCAGGACTGGTGGTTGACTAACCATGATTTTTGGTAATCACTGTTTTCATTACTTTGTTCTTTAGTAGGCGTACTCCCTTCCGTACACATCTGGCAGGGAAGGGATACAAAAAAAAACAAAACAAACAAAAAAAAAAACACTAAAACAAACAAATGGAGGGCCAGCACCATGGCATGAGCTTAAGCTCCACCGGCAGTGCTGGCATACCATATGGGCACTAGTTCAAGTCCTGGCGATTCCTCATCTGATCCAAAACACAGGATGGCCCAAGTCTTTGGGCTCCTGCATCTACATGAGAGACCCAGAAAAAGCTTCAGGCTCCTGGCTTCAGACCAACCCAGCTCCAGCTATTGCAGCCATTTGGGGAGTGACCACTAGATGGAAGATCTCTCCTTCTGTCTTTCCTTTTCTTTTTTTTTTTTAAAGATTTATTTATTTTTATTATAAAGTCAGATATACAGAGAGGAGGAGGAGATAAGGAGAGGAAGATCTTCTGTCCAATGATTCACTCCCCAAGTGACTGCAACGGCCAATGCCATGCCGATCCGAAG